GAAAGGTCGGAGATGTCCGCATATCATTATAGTATGTGAATTGTAGAACTCGGGGGGAAGACCCCTAAAGGTAACCCCGAATTGGTTGGGTTGTTAGCGGGGTCTGCTTGAACTCACCGCAACGTCCGAAACTCTTCCGTATCTAGGAACATAATCCACGGCCTCCATCTGGTCAGAAACGTATCAGATCTGTCAGCTCTCTCCGCAATGAGCTCTTCCGATCTCATCAGGCGACACATCTCCGCTGTCCATTCCGCAACTAATGGGATGACAGTGGAGTTCCAATGGCGAGGGATTAAGGCTCTAGCCGCAATGATAAAGAATCTAAGCAGTGATTTCTTCACCTTAGAGATAGAGCCCGGAAAGACCGATAATAGAGCCATCTCCGGCGTAATGTGCAGATCAATGGAAGTAACTCTGGAGTAGACGTGTGAGATAGCTCGACAAAAGGGCAGAAGCAGAGGGCAACTCCACCACACATGGGCCAGCGTGCCCGGTCCAGCCTGGCATCTCCAGCAGTTGTCCGGGTACGTGGGGGAGATCTGGTGCATTCTGACCGGGGACCTGTACCATCGGGTCAGCAGTTTAAAGTTCCGTTCTTGTGCATAAGTTGACATGCAGAGTTTATGTGTAAAGCATAGGCATTTGTGACGGTCATCCTCCGAGAGTACGATTTCCAACTCCTGTTCCCAAGCGGAAAAGAAGTATAGGGAATCTCCACTGTGCACGGTGATTAAGGCTTGGTAAAGTAGCGAAACTGGGCGTTGGATTGGCAGACCAGAGGCGCACAGGTCCTAAAAAAGTGAGAGGCCTATAGAGAGTGCCCGACACAGACAATGCATCCACAAAGTGTTGGAGTTGAAAATAAGCCAGCCATGAAGATCGCGGAAGCGGGTTGGGGCCAGATAGTGATGCTAGTGGAGCTTCTACACAGTTAATAGGCTTTTTTAATCTCTTTTAATACTAATGGGAGCATTCATAAAGTATATGCCACTTTACCAAAAGCGTGGTGACTACTTAAATTTAGTTTGCTACGAGTGTAGCCAGTCTAGCTCATTACATAGTCTGAACTCATTTGTTTTTTCCTAAGGATTTTCATATTGATTGCATCTGCCTGCTGCTGGGTGTAGCCTTGCCAAAGAGCAGAGCAACCAATAATGGAATGTTATGGATATAGATATCTATGTCTCTTCATTCAATCACTAGGAATTTCTTTGCCAGTGGTGCATGCTGGGGTGGGACATAAATATCTGGGTCTGACTATGTGATGGACGCCGGCAGAGAGAGGATGGGACGTTCACCCGGTGGGATGAGGTATGCCACCGGTTCCCCTCCTCTCTCCTGACACTGTCAATACATCTGTGTAATACATCACTTCCGTATTCACCTGTCAGTCCTCTGGCTGCTATAGCCAGAGAGAAGAAGCTGATGAAGCAGATCTCTGCTTCATCAGCTTCTTTGGGGGTCCCCAGGTGACATTAGGGGTCTCAGAGACCCCTAATGTCTCTATAAAGAGGACCTGTCAGTGGTGTTCTTCTTTAGCTATAGAGGCATGTGAGTGAAGGGAATGCTGTTGTTTGTTTATTGCTTTTTCCGTATTAGCAGGCATCCCAACCTGAAAGAATTCATTTTAGGGAGGTGCCCTTTTCATTTCAGGGAGGTGCCCTCAACCCCCATCATCCGCAGGGGGGTGGGATGAGGGATCCCACCCCCCTGCGGATGATCAGAGTTAAAAAAAAAACACAGACAGTATGGAAATGAATGGCTAGATTGCTATTGGCTATTTCAATTTTCAATAGCCAATAGGACGCTGGCTATTGCACCCGCCCACTGCTGCTGTCAATCGGCAGAGGAGGACTTGATGGAGAACTTCAGGTCCACCTCTGCGTATTGACAGCAGCAGAGGGCGGTTGCAATAGCCAGCCTGCTATTGGCTATTGAAAATTGAAATAGCCAATAGCAATCTAGTTATCCATTTCCACGCTGTCTTTTTTTTCTGACAGTGATCTGCGGCCCGATGTCAGAATAAAAAAAACCAAACAGCAGGGAAATGTTTACTCTGCTAGGTAGAGCAGAGTAAACCTTTCCGGGATAAAATGTTTCCCTCCCGGGAGTCCAGGAGCCGCTATCTTATTGCGGGAGATTCCCGGAACATCCGGGAGAGTGTAGATGTCTGTATTAGGGAAATTGACTCTCTTTATTTGTCGAGGTCTATTACTGGGATAGGGGAAGAGGGCATCTCACTCACTTTGGAGACATTTACCCTCACAGGACCAGAAGTAAGAGGAAAATCTCCACAAAGGGACACAGATGGAAAAAAGTGAAAGAAGTTTTCACCATTTATTATTCTACCAAAAATTACAGATATTTTTTGACTGACTCTGATGTTCCAGAAACAACAACCCAATTATGTTTTCTCTTATTTGTTGCCATGTATACAGTCAAAAAGTAGCTCTGCATATAGAGCAGTCATGCTCTCACCAGAAGCCCATAGCATATGGTTAATTGTATTATATGTTGTGAAACTTTGGGTGGACTGTCACTGAAGAAGGAACCCTATGTGGCCCTTAAATGTTGGTATATTGGTGTATGTTTCACTACAAAATCTTTCCATTTAAGTTAGAACCATTTTCAATGATGTGACGGTCAGTTTTGCTTGATTGCTGGATATTGGTTAACACCGTCACTACATGCAATTTTCCCCCACAAGAACATTTTGGTGGTCATAAAATGTAAAGTTTATAGCTGAGATTTGGACTGTTAATAAAGAGCAGATATCATTCTTTCTCCAGTATATTTTCATCATTTTTACTGCATGATACAATGGACAGAGCTTGTACAAAAGGCACCATCATTCAGGGGTGTCCTAGGACAACATGGTGTCTCCATACAGCTCTGGTCCTATAGTTGCTGGTCAGGTGGGAATCCTATTTGTTCAGTTGAATGCATATGTGTCAGTTTGTGCAAAGAGCTGCAGTGTGTGCTCAAATTTGGTCAGTACAAAAAGGGGCAACACAACTCTCGCTGGTTCATCATCTTATCACAGAACAATGTGAGCGCAAAATGTAGTTGAAAAGCCTTTGGCCTCATTCTTTTGTTTTGAGGGATTATGCTATTTTAAGTGTTTATGTAATACATTCCAAAGAGCTGAAAATTCACATTCATTGAAAAGAAGTGTTCGCTCCAGGGATTATATTAGACCCTTAACCTTTTTTGCTGCTGCTATGTATTACAAAGGATTGTACAACCCTGAGCTGTTAACCTCTCTGGCAGTGGAAGTGAACAGTTTCGAGCTCTGCCCTGATTTTGCTAGTTGCCATGATCACCAGCTGCCCGCACAAGACAAAGAGTGGAACCGATGAACACCGTTCTTGTTTCCTAGGGAATGTGTTTCAGCAAGTGGAAAGCACTAAGAAAATTCTGATGCTCTCTTTCAAATTAAATAAGTGACTGAGCTACTGCCTCAATGCTTTTCGCACTCAGATGCTCTACCAATGAAACTTATTTTATGTGAAGTCTAAACTGGATTGCTTTTCAGCTATTGCAGATAGAAGACTTTTTTAAAAGCATAACTTAATTACATAATTTTAAGCCGCTTCTTGAGTGCAGAAATTATTTGGGAGCTTTGCATCCTATAAACACACTAAAAAGGACAATGACAGTAATGCCAGGTAAGTAAAGTGTTTTAATTTCCTGCATTTACGCCTTTCATTGTTAAGCTTGATACCTTGCTCCGACCGGAAGGTCTATCCTGCAAAGGTCAATTGTACAGCATGGAGCAGTATTATCATTCGCTTTGTCATTACCACATGAGACATTTACAGCTTCGCATACAAGGTCGTAAATGCATTATACCCGATCTCTCACAACAGTTATTCTGGACAGTAAAGTAATTATACGATAGTGCCTGCAGAAAATATAAGCTAATACTGGTGGCACCAATATAATTTTAGTTTAGCAGTTCTGTCCCATCAAAGCTTTACTGGAGCCCCCAGAATACATGTGCTACTGCTGAATTTTTGGAGGTTTGTATTTACCTAGCCTAAAGGATACCCTGACCTAGATGAAAATGTCTGGCTGGACCTGGTGATAGCTCACTCAGGCTTTAAACCCTGCTGTGGAAGATGGAAGAGCTGGTGGGGCTGATTCCTATAGCCAAAACTCAGAGCGGGAATATATCAAAACTGGAGCAGACAAAATCTGGAGCAGCTGTGCATGGCAGCCAATCAGCTTTTCTCTTAAGTTTGTTCAATTAAGATTTGAAAATGAAAGAGAAGCTTATTGGTTGCTATGCACAGCTGCTCCAGATTTTGTCTGTTCCAGTTTTGATACATTCCCTTCAGAGTTTGCTGGGAGCTTTGACAAGTGCTATGGAGAGGACAACCCTAATATACTTTGTCAGAAGGAAAGGCAGAAGGGGGGCTTTCTTAATGTTCGCACAGAAAGACAAAAAAACCTGATACGTGCTATGTTTGCGTTAATCTTACAGTTGTCTTAGTATATTATTGCACAGTGGAGACAAGGAATATGCGCGGAGGACCTATAATGATGTCCTTGTGTATGAGAAATTAAATAAAACTGTCTGCTGGTGTTTTAGGAGATATTTTTTCTTATTTTTAATGCCTTTCATGCTGCATATAATATTATTTATATATTTTTCTTGTTACTCTTGTATTGATAAAATATTTTATTATCATATGTGCATAAAGCTCTGATGAGCAGATTTAGAAGAGTAGTGTTTTTTTTTTCTATATTCTTGTTTGGAGTTTGTTTTCAGTGTTCCACATGGACAAATGAGGTGTTACAATTTACCTTTTTGGTTAATCCCTGCATTGGCCAGAAATGACCTAAGAAATACATGAAAAAAAAGCAATGTAAGGCTGGTCTTAGACTTCAAAGGGTGGTCAGACATAAAGAATCGATCTGGTGGCCATAATATTAGCAAATAATAGCAATAAACAGAAGCTCAGTTTGGCCAAGCTTGCAATCAAGTTTGAAAACTAATCTTAAAAAAGGGCACCCTGGCGACAGCTCACCAGTACCAGGATCACTGAAAGACTGCTTAACTTTTCTTTGCGAGACACTGCCTTGTTATCCAGACCAGCCAGATTCTGCAGTGTTGTAAGCAGTGGCATACCTAAAAATCACAGGGTCTTATATTTATATTAATGTTGAATGCAAACCCCCCTCCCAAGAAAAAAGAAAAAAAAACACACCATTGTACAACATTCTAATTACCATGGCAGGCGATGAAGGATTAAATAGCACATGGTAATGATATTGAAGTACTAACATGTGGAGGGGGAGGTGGTCTTTCATTCAGGGAGCCCAGAACAAAAGGAAAAGTGGGGAGCAAATTGACAGTCTCTGCAAAGTGGCCCCCTCCAACCTAGTTATATTCATGGTATCAAGGCTAATTTCTATCTCCTGCCTCCTCCACAGCTGAAGACACAATACTTGGTGCTTTTGGGTATGGGAGACTATGTGACCTCTCCTGTGACAGTGGTCAGTATTAAAGCCAGCCCAAGCACTGTCACATATGAGTGACGACACCATTTCACATAGTCACTGACATCTTAGATTTTAAGGCTGGCTATAGAGACGGAAGAAGTTGTGAGTGAATGTGCTGACAAGGTGAGTATAAGGGGGGCAGAGAGGACACCTTTGCAAAGACACTGCCGGGAGGGGGGGGGGTCCTAAAACATTGCTGTATTGCAGCTCTCTGGCAGCCATTCCTATCCACACATGTTTTACTATCAGCCAAATAGAGTCTAATGTTACTCACTGTACACATTGCACACATTTGCTGCTGTCATTGTACCCACAAAATACTTTTCTATCATTACTATGCCACGGGCAAGGGTCTTACAGACACACATAAACCTGAAAACAAAATAATATTTTAAAAAACTCTTCCATTGCATATGTATTTCTGTCTGAGCCTGCCTTACAGAAGAACCTCATTTAAATTGTTGGGGAATACTTACCAGCCATCAACTGATTAAACAATAGACATTTTGTTCAGGAGTTTGTAACACTTTGTACAGAGTTCAGCAGTTAGGATTATGTAACACAGTGCCCCTTACAATGCTGGTGAGTAAAAAGAAAAAAACAATCCCAAACATTGACTACCAATGTATTAAAGGAGAACTATGGGGTCAGTGTTTTTCCCCATAGTTCTCCTTAGGGTAACGGGAGGACACAAACTAGCGTCCTCCCGTTACCCTAAGCTCAGTATACCGCGAGCTACAGCTCACGGTATACTGAGACGCCGCACCTGGAGCGGATCCCGACGTAGATGACGGGATCCACCCAGCTGCGTGAGTGACAGCTGGCTCTGCCTATCTAGAGGCAGAGCCAGCTGTACCCGCCCCCTCCCCGTCCGTTCCGCCAGTCAGCGCTGGCAGATCGGAGCGGGGAGAGGGGAATCCAGCCCCTCCCCCTGTCACGGCAGAGAGCCGTGACAGGATCGAGAGGTGAGGGAACCCGGTATGTGTTCCCTCACCTCCCGATCTACTGAGCCGACCTGTGACAGTCTCATTGTCACAGGTCGGCTTAGAACTATGAGGTGAGTGGAAATCACTCATCTCATAGTTCTCCTTTAAGTCAGTTGGAAAAAGAGAAAAAAATGTCCCACTGATGGAGGTCATTTGTGGTCAGTGGAAGGAGAAAGGCCTAGCATCATTGTTCAGTATAAAAAAACTGCCATGCAATACTGGTTAGTGGCAGGCATGATCCGTAGATTAAAAAATGCTTGGCTTCAATGGTCAGTGGGAGGGAAAAATGGCTTAGCGTCTGCGTTTGGAAAACATGCCCTAGCATTAGTGGGAGGGAAAATTGTTCTGGTGTCAGTAGTCAGAGAAATGATATGGTCAACTCTCCCGGTTTCCTCCTTAACTACTTTAGACCTCAGAACATCTCCCACTGCTTTCCTCCCTAACCCCTATAGGCCTTAGATCACCCCACTTTCCTTCTTAACTCCTTTAGACCTCAGATAAGCCCCCTTTTCTTCTTAACCCCTTCAGCCCCCTTTTCTTTACCTTCTTCACAACTTCTTCAGACCACTGCCCATCGCCATGGCAGAGCACACTGAGGAAGTCTATAAAAGACTTCACCTGTGACTCTATGATGTGAAAAGCATACCATGACCAGAAATTGTAAGTAAAGATAGACTTCCTCACCCTTCTGTGCTGAGGCCACACTGGACTAAGGAGCTTCCCAGCACTGGCGCTAGGAGTCCAGGGCATAGAAAGCAGCATGGTGGGTGGCAATTGCTGGTTAGAGGTGCATCCTTAACCTTAAGGGGTGCCCGCTGCATCTATCACCTGGCCTAATCTGCCCACAGATCCCAGCCTTCCTGCACATACCCCATAGCACAAGCTGGGCTGCTATGGTAATAGTGATTTTCTTACTGGCGATGTGTTGCCAGCAGTGGAATTCCTATCTGACATGACCCAAAGGGGATGGTAGTGGGTGTTTCAAAGCAATTGGGAGGCCCATGGTCTTCAAGGCCAATTTAAGATAATTATTGTATACAACATGCATACCTTCAACTGTCTCTCTATTGGAAACTGAAATTTTCATTTGAGTACGAGTGACTTTTCTACCACGTGATACTGATCTGCAGAGGCATCTGCTGTCATCTCAGCACCCACCCATTATTTTGGGTTATATCTATTCAGCAGTGCGATGGGATCTATTTGAATTGCTTTTGAAAACACATCACTCTGTCCCGATTTCCCTTTCAGTAGTTCCTCTTTTCAGTTTGAGGTAAGGACCTCTAAAAAATGAACGATTTCATACTCTGAACCTTTCATTAGAAACTAAAAAAAATGAATGCAAAAGCACTTGTAGGGAAAAGCACATCCCCGTAACTGGGCATGTGACAGGAGTGCGTCTCTTGTATACATACTTTGTGCTAAAAGGAGTCTGTCTTTCTCATCTCAGTTGGGAGAACGTACATGTGCATTTTCTGTAAACAAAAACATCCGTTTTATATTGTCTGGTTCTGTTGTTTGTGCATTTTTTTAGGCAGTTACCATCATTACTATCGTATGTCTATGGGTAACCTAATTCTCATCCAACAGCCTAATTTTTCTACAAATATAGAATACTCCAAGCAACCTAAGTAGCTGTTGCATTGTTTTGTAAACTGCCATTAAAACATTCATATTTTTGTTTTAATAGGTAGAAACGTTCTTATTGTGTATGCTCACCAAGAGCCAAAATCAATGAATGGATCTCTAAAGAATATTGTAGTGGATGTCTTAAGCAAACAGGGATGCAGTGTTACAGTCTCTGATCTGTATGCAATGAAATTTAATGCAGCGGCAACCAGAAATGACATCACAGGTAAACATGATGAGTCACTTATTTTTGGATGTTACATCAACTTAACAGACTTCGGGTCTCTTAAAACTATACCCTCCTATCCTTTACAGCCAAGGAAGGTGCAATCTTAGCCTCTATTTGGATTGCAGTTGCCATGGTGCTGCACATGCAATCAGCTATGACACCAGCCATATGAGGGCTTGAAAGTTCAGTTGAGAGCTAAAATAAGCACACTGGCAACCTTGGCAGATAACATGCCTTGAAGGAAACTGTCCGGGGGACCGGTTAAATTTGTGGTTCAGTTCCGTTTTAAAGATAACATGCTGAGGCTGCATGGCAACATAGTTAGAAATACTGTCTTGCAGAATTATTGTCCTTAATTTATTACCACCAGGGACACTATCAATATGGAGTTTGTATGATTTTCCCATGTTTGTGTGAATTTCTTCTGGGTTCTATGGCCTTCTCATAACACCATAAATAATAATAGGTTAACAATCTTCTACCAAGATTAGCCCCAGTGCCTCTACATGGATGCCTGAGAAAGGGAAATTACATTATTTTCTTCAGGGGTAGGAACTACAGGAAATATTGTCTGAAATAGTGTTTGCAAAACAATACAAAATGTGTATCCTGTATTTGTTATGTATTATGTATGTTAATATAAAATAGTAGTGTTAGAGAAAGCCTGACACAATACAATGTGTAAGCAATCTAGACAAAAATATGGGTCAGTAGATCCAGAAATATATTTTATATGCAAATAGTGTTTGTAAAACACTACAAAATGTGTATCCTGTATTTGTTATGTATTATGTATGTTAATATAAAATAGTAATGTTAGAGAAAGCCTGTCACAAACCCATGAGCCTCCTATTTGGTAACATAAAATAAGAAAGCTAGTGAGATGTTGAGTGGTCATGTCCCCAATGTAAAGGGAATTCCCATTTTAGACAGTTGTCTCCAGAACATATGACCCATTGAAAGGTTTCTCCTTACCTCTTGCTTACATGACATTTCTAACATTTAGGATTTCCCTTTGTTTTCTGTCTTGGTGACAATGGATGGTGAATTCCCCTAAAGGGGGCACAAACAGCAATAAAAACTAGGCATAGGGTCTAACCCTTCCCCTCTCTATCCAAACCAAAATGTTTTGGCTTTACATACACTTTAAATAAAGTCATAAATATGTTTCAGAGTGTTTATATAGCTTGAATTTCAAGCCAAATTTCATACATTATATCCTTTCTTATGGTAAGAGGTTAGGATTTTCTGCCCTTGGACCTGTTAGGCTCAGTTGTTTCAGGGTTGCTTTCATGTCTGTCAAAGGCTGGTGGAGGACTCAATGTTGCTTTGCATTACCCTACTCTAGCCTCCACGTGGATTCATTGTGCTTTATAGATTGCAGCTATAAAGGAAAGGTAAGGGACATTTTATTTCTGGTTTTGTAGGAGACCTGTGCAATCCTCGACACTTCAGCTATGGAACAGAGACAAAGGAAGCATTCAAGAAAGGCTGCTTATGTGAGGATATTCTTGAAGAGCAGAGAAAAGTCCATGAAGCTGACTTAGTCATCCTTCAGGTACCTAGAGTTTACAAACTGATTTTTGTTTACTTTATAAGATAACTTACTCAAACACTGTATACACTTGCTTTTGAATGCCATTGGTCAAGGCTGACCTACAGTTTCTTCTGTGGGAAAAGGTACTCTTATAAATGGTCCTTAGGCCATCAGTGGCACAGTGACATAGTTTGGCCACACCACTAATTTACCACTTGCAGTTTTGGCCCAGGGTGTCCCCAGCATTTTAAAATCCTAGCAATGTCCCTGCTTGCGATCCAAGCACCCGTTACAAAGAGACCAGCCAGGTCAGTGAACTCAATTTTTTCAACTGCCATTAGGCAAAACAGCTTGGTCATGCCCCCTTTCCCTGAGACATTCCACTGGTTGGCCAATGAAGGAGCAGCAGCATATTGATAAAGTGTTTTTCGCTCCTGTAAGCATTTAGAACATTAGACTAATAGTACTGCCCCAACATTGACTAGTCGCTGACGGCCACAATTCGCACATTCAGACCCAGATTTTCGGCTTACAGTGCAGTCTTTAAACACTTTAACAACCGCTGCTCTTGAACATTTAATAAATTCTGCTGTTTTGCTGATACAACTCCATGGCTCCGAGCGCCAACAATCATCCCACTTTCAAAGGCTGTTAAATCGCGTTGTTTACCCATATCTTCAGAAACAAATCACTTCTACTGTCGTGGTAAACAACCTGTGTCCCTATTTATAATGGTCTGGCCCTCTAGCAACTTCAGTGCGAAATTATAGCTAATTTGCCTACAAACGTCAGGTGGTCATAATAATCTGGCCACTCAGTGTATATGTGCTGCTGTTAAGAGCATTACATATAACCTATATATTGTGGTATTGTGGTGTGGCAATCCCACTGTAGAATTGGATTTGATGATCACCTGGGACGTTTCAGGAAGCAAGGGATTGTCTGGATTTTGTTGGGATCCTGGAACTGGGAGGTTTCAAGGTGATTCTGGAGGAAAGATGAGATCCCTAGTCCTGGGTCTAGGCTTTAGCAGTGGCCAGCACTCGATAATTGCACAGATGTGCACAGCCATTAAGAAAAGGATGCTGGCTAGGGGAATTAGCTCCTGCTGGGAAAGAGGAACAGACCGTGTTCAGGTGTCAGGAGAACACCCCCAGAAGGCAGAGAGGAGTCAGGTAGTAAGTGTGCTGGAGGCACACTAGGACAGCCAGGGAGGCTGGGAGAGAACTGGTGAGGCTAGAAGAGCCGTGAGCCTGAGGGGCCACCAGTATCAGCGTGGGTCAGCACTTCAAAGAGGACCAGTGGGTCAGATGTGCTACTGTTTAAAGTGGAAGCCAGGAGGCTGCTATTGTGTTGTGTTGAAGCCTTGCAAGAATGTTATGTTGAACAACCCCTGCGAGGGTATCCAAGATGGATATGAACTTTGTTTTGAATAAAAGTGGGCTACCGAGCCCTTAAACCGAAGATATTGCGAGTAGACTGCATTCTTAAGCGCTCACCATATGTGCTAACCACCCCAACGTCACAATATATACATACATACATACACAGACACACACATATACACACACACACAGTAAAATAAAATCCATATACCAATAATACAATAATATTATATATTTATTTATATATACATCAGATTTGTGAATTGATGTTCAAGTATCTGTCAGTGTATAGGTCACAATTTATTAGACAGCCCAAGTGCAGTCTTTAAACACTTTAACAACCGCTGCTCTTGAACATTTAATAAATTCTGCTGTTTTGCTGATACAACTCCATGGCTCCGAGCGCCAACAATCATCCCACTTTCAAAGGCTGTTAAATCGCGTTGTTTACCCATATCTTCAGAAACAAATCACTTCTACTGTCGTGGTAAACAACCTGTGTCCCTATTTATAATGGTCTGGCCCTCTAGCAACTTCAGTGCGAAATTATAGCTAATTTGCCTACAAACGTCAGGTGGTCATAATAATCTGGCCACTCAGTGTATATGTGCTGCTGTTAAGAGCATTACATATAACCTATATATTGTGGTATTGTGGTGTGGCAATCCCACTGTAGAATTGGATTTGATGATCACCTGGGACGTTTCAGGAAGCAAGGGATTGTCTGGATTTTGTTGGGATCCTGGAACTGGGAGGTTTCAAGGTGATTCTGGAGGAAAGAATGGTTCAGCGTTCCTGCTATCATGAAGGGCTGGATAGATCGAGTATTTGTTCAAGGCTTTGCCTTTGACTTCCCTGGCTGCTATGAGACTGGACTCTTGAAGGTGAATATATATTGGATGACACAGTACAACCACTTGGTTGAAAAAAGTGTTACATTCAACTACTGTGCTAAAAATAAGTTTCTTTCTGCATTACATGTATTACAATAGATCAGTGTTTTTCAGTCCCTGTACCCAGTCTAAAATGTAAAAAAAGTTAAAAATTTAAAAAACAACACGTGAAGACCCTTATGAGACCAAAATCCATATGAGACCTTTTTCCTAGATAGGGGTCTGGTACATATTTTAAGGGGGGACACCACACAAAAAACACAAAAAACACAAAAAAGTGGCGTTCCCCCTTTTACATAAGAAGCCCCCTCTCACTTCAGGAGTCCCCCTTCACATCAGAAGCCCTTCCTTCACATCAGGAGCCTCCCTTTCACATCATAATCCCCCCTTTACATTAGGAGCCCCCCCCCCCTCATCAGGAGCCCGCTTCACATCAGAGTGGTCAGCCCCTCCTTCACATCAGAGTACTCAGTCCCCACTTAACAACTGTACCCTACTTTAACATCAGAGTGTGGGTTGCAGCAGCAAGGCAGTTGGCAGGAGGTTGCACAGGTCTGGATGGAGGCAAATTTCTGTAATCTTCTAAATGGATCCCGCCAACAGTAGATAAGCGCCCTGTGTTTCGTTTCCATGATGCTGGTGGCTGGTCTGCCTGATGTTGTATAAAACATTTGCAGCACTGTGAGGGACAACACACAGGGCAAAAAAAAGGAAACTTTCTGCAGTGACATCTGCAGGATGTATCAAAACTGGCTGTGTGGTTAATGAGAATTTATTAGGCCCACTGGTTTTTTTTTTGGGAAGTATTGGGAGAATAAAATATAATCTTCCCATTACTTAGAGCTGGTGTGGGGCACTGTGGCTGTCACATACTGGCTCTATGTACTGAGAGCTGAGAGATCATGTAACCGCTGATTTTTCAGCTCACAGTCTCCTACTTGCAAAGAGTAGTGACTGTCAGTCACTAGAGGCAGAACAGGCTGACAGTCAGGCAGTGGGGTGGATCCCAACAATATTGTTGGGAGCTATTCTGGCTGCAACGTGGCTCTGCGCTGTCAGCATATAGTGGGCAGTAGCCCACTATATGCTAACATGGGTCGCAGGAGTACATTAGTAAATGCACCCCAGTGCCCCAAAAGAGAAGTACAGCCAAAAAATAAGTTTGGCTTTACTTCTCTTTCACATGTAATATGCTTGTTCAAATCTTTCACAGCTATACTAAGGTGTCACCATTGGAGATATTTCCAGCCAAGTATAAAGTGTAATGGACCATCATCACTGGCTTACAAAGGTAAAGGCCCATATCAGAGTATTCAAAACAAGAAAATGGCACAGTGGTTTTGCTACTGTATGTTCTGTTGATGGTTGATGGTGGATGTAGCAGTTTAAGGAATATTAGGGAAAGTAAAGAGCAGGAATAAAAGATCACATGGCTTATGCACATTGAAGGTGGTTATTGTTCCTTTTTTGCTGGGCAGGGTAAAAAAGCACTTCTTTCGCTTACAACTGGAGGAACTGAAGAGATGTTTAGCACAGAAGGAGCAAGTGGAGATATCCGATATCTTCTTTGGCCTATTCAAGTAAGTATTTTTTCATTAATCTTAAAAATATTTGTCTTTGAAAATTAGAACAATGTCTTGAAAAGAGAAGGAACATGTATAGTTTGGCAGTTGCACTTTGGTATTTGCACACTGGATGTAGGAGAACAGTCCCCAGTGCTAGTTTACCCTGATATTATGGACTGCTCCGAGCATTAATATTTAGCAATGACCGTTAAATAATTCCTACATCCAATATAAACAAAATACGTGCTCTACTGTTGCCAAGCTAAGATGGTCCTGTGCATCCAAGAGAGAAGTTCTATTGTTATATATATACAGTATATACAATGTCAGGGAGTCTGAAATTAAAATCCTTTTTTTGTTTACAATAGAAAGGTAAACTGACAAAGATTCTTGTTCTTTACAGTTCACATACAGTAGCTTTAATACTAGAATAAGAGTCTTTATTTTCAGCCATGTGACTGTAATCTTTAAATCTCTTTGGACTCTCATTTTTTAAAATAAGGATTCCCATTATGGTGTGTTATCTATGTTTGTTTTACTGGATGCTAAATCTCTACTAGTTAGTAATGCAAATGACATATAGAACTTACTACTGTGAAATATTTTTTCTCCTCTTTTTTAATAAAAAAGTGTTATTAACCTATGCAGCAAACATGATATTATATGATTGACACTATACATGTCCCTAAAAGATTACATCAATAAACGTTGATTGCCTCTGGTAAATTCAAGTTTAAAAAAACTCAGAAAATGTTGCTGGCTATTAGATCCATCTGATGAAGGGGTCATAAAACATTTTCAGGATTTGAACCTTAAAGTAGAACTCCAATCAAAAATGTTCTAAACCCTTGCAGTAGGGCTACTCCCACACTACAAGGGATAAGTGCTTGTTTTTGTCTAGGTGCTTAAAAAAACGTTATACTCAGCTCTATCTCACATTATCCTCTTAATCCAGTCCCCGAAGCCTCTATCCCCCTCTGCTGCAGTGGCTAAGGATCCTTGAGTTATCACATTCTATACACAGTGTATAGGACGTGGGGACGCTGAGGGCGTACTATCTATCTAGAGGTTGCAAATAAACAGACAACATAGGCTGGCAGTACATAATGTCCCCAGCATCCTCTAGTTTGCTTTTACATGCATTTAAATTTGGCATTTTAGACTTGCAGATGCCTGAATTTAGCAGTTTACAATAAATGCAGTATATACTGAGTGCACGCCTTTGGTATCTGTGTTCCACAGGGCTCCATTGCTGCCATTAGGTATTTGCTGTCACACCAAGTGCTGCCAAGTCCTTCCACTGACACCAGGGGGAGGCAATGACCATGCAATAGCAGTGCAATACCCATCACATTTAGTGTCTACATTTCATAGTCTCCTTAGGTCCCACATTTCTAGCTTACCTTATGTGCCATGCATATGCACTATCTATGAAAAATGATAAATACTCTGTTTTTGTCATACAGGGCTACTAGATTACCAGTCAGGCAAACTACAATTTGCAAACAGTGCAAGGCTGAATAACTAACAAGTAAAGGCTAAATAACTTCTTAAAAGAAATGCATACCATATTAGTGTAAAGCCGGTTATACACTATACAATCTGATTGCACGATCTCTATAAAACTTCATGTAGATTTGCCAAAACTATTGAATATGAGGAGAATCCTAAACAATTCATTAATTTAGAAATGACACAGTTATGTAAACCTAAACTTTGTGTGCAAAATAGTCTATTTTTTCTTTGCATACACACAATTGTGTCTTAAATAGATCTGCTGATGTTCTCTTTGTGCCAGAAACAGCGTTGCAACAGTCCAAATGAGTGATCACAGGGGTAAAGGAGACTGAGAAAATGCTTTCCTTTTATCTGTAGCATACCTTTTATCTGAGTCATGACACTGTTCTCCCAGTATACACCCCTCAGCCTAGGCACAGTTACTTGACTAGAGCCTTAAGGACTGCTTAATATGCACTCCAGTCAAAATGTTTTATTTTATTTTGTATACAACAGGAAAGGTTAGAATATCTGTCAGGTTTATATTGCTGATTATGTTGCTGTTTGGGAGAGTTCTCCTCACTTCCTGTCGGGACAACTGGGGTAGCATGGAAACATAGAAGAGACATGGCAGAAAAAGACCAAGCGGTCCATCGAGTCTGCCCCTTTTTTATTTGTTTTGTGGGTTTGTTTCTTTAAACCTTTTTTTTGTCTTGAGTATAATTCCATGTTTGTCCCAAGTATGTTTAACTGCACTTACTGTTGACTGACTCACTACACCTCTGCTGGAGGTACTGTATGTTCCAAGCATCAAATACTCTTTCAGCAAAATAAACACGTTATCAGTTTTGAACTTTTCTTCTGCTAGTTATCGATAACGTCACAATGTTCTTGATCTTAGCTTCATATTGAAAATACTTTATTAATACTCTTAATGTATTTAAAGGGTTCAATCCCTCATCCCCTTCTTTCCTGAAGACTGTACATATTTAGTTCCTGCAATCCTTCCTGATATTTCATCCCTCAGACCTTTCACCATTTTCCATGCCCATTCAATCTTATCTATATGTATTTTGTAACCAAGGTCTTAAGTACTGGACACAGTATTCTAAATTAGGTCTAGCTAAAGATACTGTATATTTATATCTATATATATCCATCTATCTATCTATCGATCGATCGATCGATAGATAGATAGATAGATAGATAGATAGATAGATAGATAGAAATATATTTTATTTTTTTTAAACTATGTAGTTGCTGTATATTCTGACACAGCAGAAACGTATTTGTGAAGATCAGTAAAGTTACTCATTTAGGGTATAACATGGAACAAGGTATGAATTAGCCTTTACGTGTGATGAATTATATTGTATCATACAAATAATGTTTACCTGTATCATTCTTTGCTGTAATACATCTGTATTGCTGAAAATTGTTTTTGGTACATTTGCAGCATGGCATAATGCACTTCTGTGGATTTCAAGTTCTCGCCCCTCAGATATGTTATGCAACAGAATATGTGACAGAAGCAAAAAGAAAAGAAATGCTTATGAACTGGGCTCAGAGATTGGAGAACATCTGGGAGGAACCTCCTATAGATTGTACCCCATCTTGGTATTTCCGTTAGATTAAAGAGCTTCTCTGCATTGGAAGACTGTCTAACAGCTACTCACATCACTGCAATACTGACAAACTTTTGTTGCCCATGGATTATAAAAGCATACAGAATAGTATATGCAATGCATAGCTTATTATTAGCTGAAGTAACAATGGTTGGTCCATTGTGTTCTGGAATTAGCCTGTTTTAATGTTTCCTAAGGCGGAATATTGCTTTCCTATGTACAACTTACAAAACAAAATAATAAAGAGAAATAAGTATATAAACTAGAAAAAGACTAAAGTGATTGGAGGGCAGAGGCTTTTGTAATCTAGTTATGACACATTGATCTATGCAATTAAATGTACTTTGCTTATTAACCGACATGGAGTTATGGATGTGCTGTAGTGAATATGGAGTGCTCATAGGCCCTATTAGAGGCAGGAATAAATGTATCTCCAGTAGCCATCAGGGTTTTTGTATGAGCCAGCTCCATTGACAACAACTAGAGAAAACATAAAAAGTTGGCACCAGCTGTATTGGAGCTTGGCTACCTGGTTCCTGGGATTTGTCCAGCCCTGAAATACCATTTACATGTGTTTTCACTTTCATAAAAACCTACTGGAATGATGGGATTGGCCTTAGAATAGAAGCTTCTTGAGAGCAATGCTGAGGCAACTAGAGACATCAGAGCTGTAATGCTTGACTTTTTTAGGTATGAATATATATAATACAATAAATACAATTGTGAAATACTGCATGAGTTCAAGGGTTTTAAGCTCTTTATAATCATAAGCAAACATCATCATGTGCACCTGCTATTATAAACTGGTGGGAAATCTGCTAAAAGATGATATGTTTTGGCACCTCGCTACCTTTATTTTTTCTATTGATATGTTGGAAACGGCAAGTAGATAAAATAAAGTGAAAAAGAAGAAGTTGAAAAAACAGATCTGCTGTTCTAAAATGTTGTTTGCCTTTAGAAAATGAACCCCAATAGGTATAATTCAAAAAGCTAGTTTTCTCCTTTCCCATTGTTTTATTTATTATTATTATTATTATACAGGATTTATATAGCGCCAACAGTTTGCGCAGCGCTTTACAATATAGGGAAGACATTACAATCACAATACAAATCAAGACAAGATGGTAAGGAGGGCCCTGCACTGCACCTTATACATTTCTAACGGTTTGTTAACAAAAGGTGCATTATAATGTTATTCAGGGATCTGTGTGATGTAAAAGTCAATTGATAAAGATAACAGCCCTTTTATCACTCCTTAAAATAGCGATAGGTTCAGACTGATGATATACAGTACAGTCATGGCCACAAATATTGGCACTCCTGCATTTCTGTCAGATAACGCACCACTTTGCGCAGAAAATTGTTGCAATTACAAATGTTTATGCATTCTCATGTTTATTTATTTCCTTTTGTATTGGTATGACACAAAAAAGTGGAGGGAAAAAAAAGCCAAATCTGACATATTCCACGCAAAACTCCAAAAATGGGCAGGACATAATTATTGGCAAATTACAAGAAATAATTGCATTCCAAGTTTGTATGGAAAAGCATGGACAATCTCAAGGTTACAAGTCCATCTCCAGAGATCTTAAAGATTAAATCCACTCTAACTTTCCTCCAATCCTTTACATTAAGTTTTCGTTCATCCCCAACTGCCCACCGTGCCAGAGCAGCGGTGTCTGACTTTGGAATAAACCTATTTAAACTTATCAATTGTGTGATTTGCTGCCTTAAAAACCTTTCTTCCATTTTTCTAATATATATTTATGATTTTGGGGTGTGGCACCATTGGACAGAGGTATCACCAATGCACTGTAATAATAAGCAAAGATTAAACCTCAGATTGACCGACATACTGAAATAAATCATTTTTGTATGCATTTTTAAAGTTTAAATTGTATATTGATATATATTTCATGGGTGCCTGTTTTCTTTTCATTACATACTGGTTATACTGAAGTAAAAATAACCAGATCTGAGGTATATGCGGACAGTAAATATTATTTAGAACTGTGATGTAGGGTAAATGTAAGGTAAATGTATAAAAAAAATGGGCAATGAATGATGAGGGAACCAATCATTTACTGCTTTTCAAATATGCCGCATAATCGAGTTCCTGCACAAATACGTATTTTGCAATAATACAGACAACCAAGCAACACAAAAAGCATCCAGTGGTATCTTAATAGCACAGCTAGTCTTTTAGAAAAGTGTTCCTTTTTGCAAAAAAAATAACCCTTACATCAATTTCTTTTCATACTCTAAAGTCATGGCAGACGGCTTAGTCAGCAGTTGTCTCAGGAAATACAAATAACGTGAGTTTTTATTGAAGCATTGCAACATACTGGAACTGCAATTTCAACATATATACTACCACAGAGTAAAACATATCTGCTGTAAATGTCTCCTGTTATGTCAAGGTTCTAATGCTGAGAAGAGTGATGGCAGAAAATGACCGAGTGGTCCATTGAGTCTGTCCGTTTTTTTATTTTTTTAATCTTTGGATAAAAATATTGATCTATATTTGTCCCAAACATGTTTAAATTCACTTACTTTTGACCAGCTTACCACCTGTGCTGGAGGTTCTGTTTCAAGCATCAACTACTCTCTCAGTAAAATAATACTTTTTCATGAGATGACGAGGGAGCATGAAGCCAGCTTCCCGGCCAATCACAAACCCGGGCGCAAGTGATGAGAAACCCGGGCACAAGTGACGAGGGAGCATGGAGCCGGCTTCCCGGCCAATCAGGAAGCCAGGCAACATGTAATGACGCGCTGCCCGGCTTCCTGATACAGGAAGTATTGGGCTAGGCATCAGAGCATTTGGGCGAGTACGAGTACTCACCAAAAGACTTGGTATCGGCACCTATTGGCTATTTTAAATTTTAATAGTCAATAGCAGGCTGGTTATTGCTCCACCCCCTGCCTGATGTCAATCAGCAGAGGAGCAGACCTGAGAGAGAAAGTTCTCTTTCAGGTCTGCTTCTCTGCTGATTGATATCAAGCAGGGGGTGGAGCAATAGCCAGCCTGCTATTGCAATTTAAAATAGCCAATATCAGAACAACTCTTGCTCCTGCAGAGGAGCGGACCTGAGAGAGAAAGTTCTCTCTCGGGTCCGATTGGTGGTATGCGGTATGTGGTATGCACTATGCAGTATCCAGGCAGACTTACCTGCTTTTACTTACCAGCATCTGTTTCCAGAAGAGCTCCCCCACGTCTCTATCTCTTACGGCGTATTTTAGTAGGGTATACAGGGTTAGAATTATGGTTAGAATTGCACGGTTTGATTTTTTTAGAATATCTATCAATTAGTATGGTGCCATCGGCAGACGAAAACAACGTTACTGAAAATTTTCGAACTAGCATATGGGAAAACTTTTCTTGATCGAACGAATTTCTAACAGACAATGTGGTTTTCGTTCTAACGTTTCTGAAGCCAGTATTGAACGTTCCGACGGGATTTGTCGTACACATGTTAGTGCCAAAATCTACTCGTGTATGCCTTACTTTTATGTGGTTTGTCACCTCTCATGAGGTGGATAGTTGAAATATCTAATGGTATTTTTTGCAGCAGTATGCTTGGGCTTTTCTAGGCAAGCATTACTTTATGGACTGTTGTTTTCAGGAACATTTTACGGTATATTTAAAATTAATTAAAGAGCTGTATTTATTGTATTTAACCAATTTTTAAAAAATGACGCAGCCAATTCAATTCTATGCCACAGTGTTGGTGTCTTCTGTTTTTATTTATTTATGTCTAAAGGTTTCCGGTGTGTTGTTTTTAAAAGGTGTCACTTGCAGCCCCATGAGGCCACTTCTTTTATTTGCGTCCCTGCCTCTACTTGCAATAAAGCTTGTTGAATATCAAGGAAAAAGCAGTGGAAGTGCAGCCTGGTTTGCTTTTCAGCCATAGCAAGCTGGTGAGAGGTAAGCACTAAGTATGAGAAGGCAACAGGAGGGGGAAACCCCAGCCATGTCATACATTTACGTACTTTTAAAGGGGGTGGAGATTTCTACATATTCCTTCCCACAGGAAGCTGCTGCTGCTGGACTGTACACACACACACACACTAGAGAAGACTTCCTGATTAATATCATGGGCTTTGCTGGTAAAAGACAGCCACGGAGGCCGTGAAATGATCGACAATCGCTGATCTATGACAAGAGTTTCCAAGCGATGTAGAAGAAGCACAAACAAGTAGAAGAGGAACTTCTTTGTACAGGTAATGTTTGACAGGTGTCCTATGGTAAGGGGTATCCCCTGTGTCCCTTTAGACGTTTCAGCTCTTTTTTCAGTCAATCAATGGTTAAAGTACCCCCATGCCCCGCTTATTACATGTACTGTACAAGCTGTGCCCTGGGAGTGCCACCTTTCCATTCACCTCTCAAAGTTTACCTTAGGACACCGCCATTATAAAACAATTTATGGCATGAAAAAAAAAGCCATTGCATTTCCTGCTGTGGTTACTAACGATGATCTCAGACAAAGGAGTGCATGTCAACAATTAACAGATATATAATGGCCTTTTCTTGTCAGATTTGACCTAAGGTGGCCACACACATATCCATGTGATCATTCGGTCGTTTCTTTTTTTGTACTCCTTTAGATCTTCCAACAACAATGTAATGTAAGGGCCTGGACATTGGATACAAACTGACTGTATTGTTTAGGGCTTTCCTTACAGTACATAGTTTTGGCACATATGAAAGAGATTCTGCAGACATTGTACAATCAGATTGTCACGTATGTATGCCCAACATAAGATTCTGCCACAGGTCCTAGTTTAGCTGAGGTGTCCCTCTAAGGCTAGGTTCACACCTGCGCAATCTATGACCACGCGGCAATCGTGCACGACACTGCGTGGATTGCTGACCGGTCACGGGAACGCCCAACACAGCCGATCTCGCTGGCGGTGCCATTATTTTCTAATGGCACTCCTGCTGCGGTTCTGCCCGTGCAATTGAACACGCGTGTCGTGTGTCGCAAAAACAGGTACATGTACCTTTTTTTCAGCGATTGCTGCGCGGATGTAACCCCATTGAAATCAATGGGGCCACGCGGCAACCGCTGTGCACACCCAAACGCGTTTGCGCGGTTCCAGGAAGCGCATCGCGGGGCTCACACAGATCTGAACGTAGCCTTAAAGGAGAACTATGAGGTGAGTGAATCATAGTACAAGCCGATGTGTGACAATGAAACTGTCACACGTCAGCTCAAGAGATCGGGAAGTGAGCGAACACATAACGTCGCTCGCTTACTTCTCGATCATCCCCACAGGGATTTCCCCCTCCCCGTTCCAATCCTCCAGGGCTGACTGGAGGAACGGACGGGGGAGGGGCGGGCACAGCTGGCTCTGCCTTTGGACAGGCAGAGCTAGCTGTCACTCACGCAGCTGGGTGGATCTCGACAGTAATGTCTGGATCCGTCCCGGCTGCAGCGGTCTCCGTATACCGCTAGCTATAGCTCGCGATATACAGAGCTTTGGGTCACCAGAGGACACTAGTATATGCCTTCCCGTGACCCTTAAGAGAACTATGGGAAAAAACACTTACCCCCATAGTTCTCTTTTAAGTTCTAGAATATGGTGGGTGCCTGGAAGGTTGTGTGGCCCTGTCAGGTTGGCTGCAAGGGGCCCTGTGGTTTCTAATGGTGGGTCTGCCTGGCACCCTGAATTTCTTACAAACATTTTTCAGCACACTAGGCTCAAAATGTTGCTTACACCTGCTGTATTGTATCCAGAGGCGTGTTCAGTTCCTTAGCCACTGTGAGTGCCGAGTTAGCAAACCGCCGCTGAATGCTGTGCACTCACCACTGCTAACTTAGCACTCGCAGTGGAAGTGAATGTGAATGCATAGCGCGGAGTGTGATGGAGAGGAGGGGACCATTTTAACTGTGGGCACACCTGGCAACGCTGGAGAAAGGTGCCTGAACCCTGATGGAGGAAATCAGTTCAGTGTGGGAACCAACAATGTAATGTTTTGTTGGACCAGCTCACCAAATATTCATTGGAAAATTGTATTTATTAGTAAAAAATATTATCATCTGCCATTTTGCTTCGCACGTTGCAGCGTTTAGTGAAGCTGCTGCAGAACAGCTACTCAGCGCTTGGCTAAGGAACTGAGTACGCCTCCGCAAAAAGGAGAATGCACATCTAAAGGGAAGCTGGGGATGCATTTTTGTATGTGATACTGGTGTAAATCCTGGTATAATAAAGTAAATAACATGCAAAATAGGAGACAATGAACATACGGAGAGCCAAGGTGATATTGCTGAACTATGTTCTACTCGCTATAACCTGGGCCTACTAGGAACAATAAAATGTTACTGGAAGTGAAACTGAAACTATGTCAATGCCCTATAAGAGAATGATGACAACGTTTCTGGGAAATCACAGCATACATCCAAACTTTCTGAGGTGGGGAAAGAAGGACGCCTTTTAGGGTAAATTATTTAGAAAGGGCACACCCCTGCCACGTCTAAGAATAATTATTTCGAAAAAAATGAGTCCACTGGTGCTTCTTTCATTACTTTATTATTATTATTGTTATCAAATCAAATGAAGAACAGTTGGGATGACAGAGGTGTGGAAGTAAAACTGCCCATACACAGGGCAGCAGGACCAGTGAGCCAAATTGAACCAGGATGTGGCCCAGTCAGCACCCTTTGTTCGACAGAAGTACATTTTTCAATTAAAAGCCCCAAAATCTTGGCCAATCAGCTGCAATCCCTGTTCAGGCAATAAGATAGTCAGAGGCGTAACTAGAAACCTCAGGGCCCGGTGCAAGAAACCATTACAGGTAGCCCCCCCAAAAAAAACATGATTTTGATACCTTTTTTTTTCTATTAAATAAACAGTATGTATGTTATAACTTTCAGGGCTAGTTCACATCAGCTCCAGTGCGTTCCGGCCCGATTTTGGTGCTGGAACACACTGGATCGCATCCCGGCTGGCTCACTGCGTTCTGGGGTGGGAGGGGGCGTGGCGGTGCATTAAAGGCAAGCCCCCCGGCCGCAGTGCGATCGCCTGCACCGGAACGCATGGCAAATCAATGCCTGTGTTCCGGTACGCTCACAAAAAATAGCGCCTGCAAATGGAGTTCCCTGACTGGACACCCCCCCACTACAGCGTCATCACCATCCCTCTGTCTGAACTGTGGTCCGCAAGTGTCAAAAACACTGCGGGCAGCATGAGGCAGCTGCTGGTGGCAGGCCCTCTTCTTTCTCTCTGGGCTCCCCCAAATTCGCCAAACACCAGGGCCCGGTCGCAAATGTGACTGCTGTGACCATGGTAATTTTGCCTGCGCCTATAATGTATTGCTGGGACTTGTAGTCCTGCATTGTTGGTGCTATTCTGCATTGCTGTATAATCATTATGCAGCAATGCAGCAGAATACCACCAGCTATGTAGGACTACAAGTCCCAGCAATACATTCTAATGTAAATAACAATAACAGCTTCTTCCCCCCCCCCCTCCGCGCGCCCCCACCTTCCCCGCAGCTGCTTCATCCTTGGCGGCCAGGGGGCGGGACAGAGTGGAGAGAGTCTGTCCTCTCCCAACAGAAGAATGTGCTGCCTGGTGGTACCTGCTGTGTTGGAGCCCGCCAGGCAGCCAAGTGACAGGCGCAGCCTCCTCTCCTTCCCCGCACAGCTGCCAGGCAATTGCGACCGTTGCGACCCTGGTAGTTCCGCCAGTGATGAATACAATAGCTCACCTGGGAGGATTCCCCCATCCACGCTGTTAGTGTGGATGAGGAAATCAAGCTATTTTTTTTTTTTTTTCACCGTGCTGGGCTGAATAAGAAACAAGATCAGTGTATGGCCATCCATAGAATTGGGAGTTTTACTTTAACATTTAGGCCTCATTCACACGAGAAAAAGCCGGCACGTACAGCTCCGTGCTGCGTGCACAGTTGTACCGGGCAGCTCCCAGGAAGGACAGGTGCTGCGTGTGATTAGTACGCAGCACCTGTCTTGCATGGCCATGCAAGTCCGTGCGGGTGTCCGTACTCGTACGCTGACAGGATGGATCCTGTCTGCATCTGAGCCGGGACACCCGCACCCGTACGGACCTGCACTTGGGGTGAGCGTAGGGCGACGTGTGGCTGCGTACTCCCATAGAGAAGGACAGGGGCTGCATACTAATTACACGCAGCACCTGTCCTTCCCGGGAGCTGCCCGATACAGCCGTGCACGGAGCTGTACGTGGCTGGCTTTTCTCGTGTGATGGAGGCATTAGGTGTTAAATTGACAACAACCCAACAAATTAATTTTTAAATGCTAGTTTCCAAGCTGTCATACTGATCCATAGATGTCTATGCTTTCTTAGGCACAAGTATGTGGATCACGGCAGAGAGCCGTGACAGGATCGAGAAGTGAGCGAACGCCGGTATGTGTTTGCTCACTTCCCGATCTACTGAGCCGACCTGTGACGGTCTCATTGCCTTTAATGTCACTCTGACTTTATAATCTCCAGTCAGTGTTTCAGAGTACTAGGATGCAGGCACACAGGGCAGGATTTTACATAGGATCTTGCTGGCATCCATGTCCTATGTAAAATCCTGTCCTTGCACTTTACACATGTAATGTTTGCACATGTTTACATGCATGCAGCAAAAAGTGCCCTATTGGTTTCTAGGACGCTAGGTGGCAAGGAACCACCTTCATCCATCCTAACAATGAAAGAAGCTAGGTGGCTCAAGGTGTCTGTGACGTAGCAACCAAGGACACTAGTCAGCTTGAGCCACCTGTATCCCAGCAATGAAGGATGCTAAGAGGCAAGGAGCTGTCTATGTCCTAACAACAAAGAACGCTAGGGGGCTCAAGCCTCTTGCATCCTAGCAATGAAGGGCACTAGGTGCCAACTTGCTGGGATGCCGACGGCTCCAATAAAGTGCATTTGCACTCTACACTGTCCGCATGTAAACATTAGCAGAAACATTTACAATCGCACAGTGTAAAATCCGTCCCATAGGCAGGACCATGGGTGCAGATTTTCCTTTTTTTTTTTATTTTAAACAGATCTGCGTGCAGCCCAAATTTACTGACTTTTAAGGCCCCATTCACATGGTGCTTTAGGTTGCGGCTGGGAATTTCTGTGGTAAGGACCTGCAGATTCCTGCAGCAGTAATTCTAAATTGTTCCACGTACAATTAGCTGTGGACTGCTGAAAGATGCGGCCGTTGTCACGTACCTGAACTGGATTATTTTATGCATTTGTATGGACACACCTATCTACAAACATTTGTGAAAGAATGGATCGCTCTCAGGAGCTTTGTGAATTCAAGCGTGGAAATCTCCTTGCTAATAAATATTCCACGGTGAACTGTTAGTGGTATTATAACAAAGTGGAAGCAACTGAGAACAACAGCAACTCAGCCACAAAGTGGTAGGCCATGGGAAATGACAGAGCGGGGTCAGGGCATGTTGAAGCGCACAGTGTGCAGAAGTCAATAGTCAATAGCTACAGACCTCCAAACTTCTTGTGGCCTTCAGATTGGCACAACAACAGTGTGCAGAGAGCTTCATGGAATGGGTTTCCATGGCCGAGCAGCTGCATCCAAGCCTTACATCACCAAGTGCAATGCAAAGCGTCGGTTGCAGTGGTGTAAAGCACGCCGCCACTGGACTCTAGAGAAGTGGAGACGTGTTCTCTGGAGTGACAAATCGCGCTTCTCTGTCTGGCAATCCGATGGACGTGTCTAGGTTTGGCGGTTGCCAGGAGAATGGTACTTGCCTGACTGAATTGTGCCAAATGTAAAGTTTGGTGGAGGGGGGATTATGGTGTGGGGTTGTTTTTCAGGGGTTGGGCTCCAGTGAAGGGAACTCTTATGGCATCAGCATAACAAGTCATTTTGGACAATTTCATGCTCCCAACTTTGTGGGAACAGTTTGGGGATGGCCCCTTCCTATTCCAACATGACTGCGCACCAGTGCACAAAGCAAGGTCCATGAAGACATGGATGAGCGAGTTTGGGGGGGGGGACTTGACTGGTCTGCATCAGGAACGTGGGGTCAGGGGAGGCAGGTGAGGCAGAGCCTCCCCTAGAATTATGGAGGAATAATTCTATGGGAGCTTTTTCTCCATTCAGATCGGCATCTAGCAGGTAACACAGCAGAGAAATCTTCCCCGCTCTGTAACCTGTCATGGACGGAGCGCTGCCTGTTAATTACAGGCGGCGCTGCATCCAGCTTTTGACAGGTAGTTAGGTTACACAGTAGCGGGCTTCCCCACTGCTTGTGTAACTTCACTATTGAAGCCAGAGCTGTCACAGCCTCTACTCTTTGTAAAGATGCCCATACACTGCTCGATTCTCATACGAGAATCGCGGGAAATCCCGCGATCGTACGAGAATCGAACAGTGTGAACGAAGACGCGCGACCGTTTCTACTGTACGGTCGCACTTCTTTTGTCTAAGGAGCATGTTAGAAAACCAGCCGAGAATCGTACGATTTTCGGCTGGTTTGAACAGTGCTCGGGAGACAAATGCCGAACGGGCCGGTGTGCGCACGCGCACACTGCTCGTTCAGCATTGCGGTCATCGGAATCCCGCCCCTCAGGGGGGCGGGCTTGCGATGATCGAGAGTGCGATCTGCCTGTCCAAGATGGGCAGATTGTACGTTTTTTTAATCACTTTACAACCATCGCAAGACTAAGGTCTTGCGATGGTTGTACAGTGTATGGCCACCTTTAAGGTACCCATACACCTTACAATTATCTGCAGATTTTTTGTGGTCAGATGGAAAAAGTGCAACAGATTGGCCCAGGTGGAGATTACTCCATCCACACAGTTAAGTGTAGATGGAGGAATCTGTTGCACCTTTTCCATCTAACCACAGAAAATCTGCCGATAATTTTAAGGTGAATGGCCAGCTTTAGAGGCGTGAGCTCTGTGGATGGCTTGGACCAATGGCAAAGCGCCATTTGTCCAAGCTGTCCAATTAAAAAAAGCAAAAAAAACCCCCACTGAGGCGATCTCGGTGCCTCAGCAGTGACGAGCAAGTGAGGGACAGGGAGGCTCCTCCCCGTCTCCTCCCTTCCTCATTTACACTAGCTTGGGGATGGATTGGGGCGGGGCTTCAACCAACCAGGGGTGTGCTTTGGCCAACAGGAGGCGGGGCCTCCATCCGGCGGGGGGTGGGGCGGGACGTGCTGGGGAATGCCTCACCCGGAACAAGAGGTACCGCACGTCACTGGTCTGCATAGAGTCCTGACCTCAATCTGACACAACACCTTTGGGATGAATTACATCGAGGCCTTCTCGTCCAACATCAGTACCTGACCTCACAAATGTGCATCTGGAAGAATGGTCAAACATTCCCATAGACACACTCCTAAACCTTGTGGATGCCTTCCCAGAAGAGTTGAAGCTGTTATAGCTGCAAAGGGTGGAGTGACTCAATATTGAACTCCACGGACTAAGACTGGGATGCCATTAAAGTTCATGTGCGTGTAAAGGCAGGCATCCCAATACTTTTGGTAATATAGTGTATGTGTGTGTGTGTATATAGACACACACATACACTACAAAAGCACTACACACACTGCAAAACACACACTGCAAAAGCACACTGCAAAAGCACACACACTGCAAAAGCACTACACAGTATATACACACACTGCAAAAGCACTACAATTCGCTGCTGGAACGCACTGGAGCACATCCCGTTTGGCATCCTGCGTTCAGGGGCAGAAGGGGGCTCGGCGGCGCCAATGACATTGCAGCCATACCCCCCGCCCACAGTGTGTTTGTCTGCACCAGAACACGTGGCACATTATTGCCTGTGTTCTGGTCCAGTGCGATTGCACTGGACCGGAACGGAGGGCATTCCTGTACCTCGTGTTCCTGTGCGGGCGATCGTACTGCAGGTGGGGGGGGTGCCTGCAGTGCCATTAACATGAATGGCCATGCCCCCTCCCACCCCTGAACTCAGGAAGCCGGCCAGGATTCGCTCCAGTGCGTTCCAGCAACGAATCGTGCTGGAATGCGCCGTAACTGGTGTGACAGGGCCCTAATTTTCAGGGATACATCACAACATTATGATAAGCAATTAAATACATGGAAACATCAGAAAATAATAAAAAATAACATGACATTGGCTGTGGCAGCGCACCTTTGCTCTTTTTATGTTTTGTTTTGTTTTAACCTCTGATCTTTCGTAATGGATCTTCCTGAGAGAGATATTGAATGTGGCACAAACAAAATTGTTAGAAGGTGTAGGTAGCACAAATATAAAAGCATTTATTTTTAAAGAGGCAGTAAAAGTAGTGATTTCTCACACTCTCATGTAATTTTGTTTTTTGATCTATGACTTCTGTCTTCTGAAATGTGCCCCCAGTCTATGAATATCTTCTAAAGCCTTGGTTCTCAACTGGTGGGTCGTGACCCAAAAGTGGGTTGCGACCCCGTGTTCAGTGGGTCGCCGCATGCCTTCCACTTTTCTAGGTGAGAGGTTGCTCAGCCTCTCCCTAGCCTCCCCCTAGTGCAGCATTGTCTGTTCTCACACCGAGCAGCCATTCAAAATATGGTGCCCGGTGCTGAGTGTCAGCTTGAGGTGGGGTGGAGTGGGCTGGGGGTTTGGCAGCGAGGGAGCTCCATCCATACCTGCATTGCTTACAGCTTCCTGGCATGTCCTGTAGAGGTGTCTGGACCGGAGTGACATCACATTCTGGCTCCCGGCACCTCTACAGGTTGCGCATGGGAGCTGTACAAGCAATGTTGGATGGAGCTCAATCACAGCACAGCAGCCCACACTGGTCGCAACTTAATGACCGAAGACAAATGTGGGTCCTGGGGTTACATAGGTTGAGAACCACTGTTTTAAAGCATGGCCACAGTCTCCAACAACTCCTACAGCAAGTCTGCAGTCTATGACAAGCTCTTGTAGCATGTCCATAGTCTTGCTCCATGTCCTGTTGCATGTCTACATTTTCTGACAGATTTCTGTAGCATTACATCCACCAGATATTATGTACAGTCCTTTGGTTACATCAGGGGCTGCACTTGAGGCCCTCTATATCACCACCACTGCCCAAAAGATACTCCTAGACAAGAAATGTCATCCAATTGATTTCTTCATGCTATATAGAGTTGTGGCTAAGCATAAGTCATATTTTTTATGACCTTAGTATATGTACAGTACTCACAACTCATTTAAGTCTCTTGTCTAATTTTGTGCAAAGGTAAATGTATTTACAAAGATCTCCTTTGCTGACTATTATGTTGAAAATTTACCATGAGCAATTTTAAAATATAAGTAAGGTTGTGTATGTCTTAGTGATCCATACATTTATTGATCTGTGACTTTGGCCTCCCTCTCTAGTTGTTGTCCCCTTGTTCGTCCATGTCCACCAGGATGGAGACTTTTAGCGGATGGGGTCCATAGTGTCATATTTGGCATGAATTGGTGCATATGTGATTGTTAAACAGCACAATGAAAAGACTTATTGTGTTGGGTTCATTGGCTTATGGTGTCCCTTACCTGAGACTTTTCTGCCTCTTGAAGCGACAGACTACAAAATGTTGCAAAACTCGTAGAGGCGCAATCTTGTCCTCTGGCCATACCAGCACTATGTTTAATACAAATGGACTTGATTTATGTATGTATGGTAATTTGACCTACTGTATAAATCAACATTAACCACATGCCATCCAACCATTGTAAATACACGGGCGGACATCAACCTTTTCCCAGCGGACAGACGGCCTTGTACTTGATTTTTTTTTGTCTGCCCATGCGTGCCCCCAAGCAGAATCCCGCTGGGATTGTAAACAGCCATTACCGGCTGTTACATACAAGCATTCAACCGGCTCTACAGCATGTATGAAACTAAGAAACGTGCGCTCTCCCCTGCTGCTGTGTCCCCCCTCAGCTGCCGCGCACCCCGCCCCCCCCATCATTGCCGCTGCCCGGGACTGGCACAGTGGCTGTCTATACTGAGAGAAAGTAAGAGAGATCAGCATTTCCGCACTACTGATCCCTCCTCCTCTCTCTCTAAAGGCGGAAGCGATGTGTATTACATCACTTCCGCCTTTAGCTCCAATTTCTCTGGCTGCTATAGATATATCTCTGCTTCATCAGCTTCTTTGGGGGTCCCAAGGTGACATTAGGGGTCTTAGCGACCCCTGCTGTCTCCATAAAGAGGACCTGTCATTGTATATTGGCTATTACATAGGGGGCTTGTTATCCCCCTATGTGATAACAATAAAGTTAAGTGTTAAAAAAAAGTAAAACAAATTCTCATATAAAAAAATAAAAAACACCCCAAAAAATGATAAGTCCCCCGCGTGTTCGCACATATAAACGTAAATATGCATGGGGTGTTCCTACGTGCGAAAAACAAAGATTACGCTACACATGTTACATATCACAGCGAATGTGGGAGTGTGAGCAATAATTAATTCCAGGGCCATCAATCACTGATAACACAAAACTGATGAGCGGTAAAAGCTTTTAAAGTGTCGCCTATGGCCAATTTTAGGAATGGGGTTGTTTTTGCGATTTCACTGCGCACACAATTTTAACGCTTGACATGTTTGGTGTCTATTTACCCGACGTGACCCCGTCTTTTATATTTTACCAAAAAATTGGGTACTAGTAAAGGTTCTATAACATAACGTAGGGAAAACAGGGTTTTTAAAAAAAAAAAAATTTCAAACTTTTTTCTTTGAACTTTGAATACTGAAAAATGGCCTGGAGAGGAAGGGGGTGTAAACACCGGGTCAGCAAGTGGTTACGCGTTATTTGGTCCAGTGATTCAAACGAGATTATGTCTCAGTACATGGTACATGGTTTTGTGATTTATTTTTTTTTGATGAGTTTTCATGAAGATGAATTGTTCTATAATGAAGCTAATTTGAAGTGTCAGTACCATCAAGGTCCAACAGGGTCCATGTTGAATCCTTTGGTTTTCTATTTAGTTCATTAGGAATCTGGATGTGGTTCTAAGCCGGCTCCAGTTGGGGCATAAAATCTCTTTGATTCAGGTGAACTTTGACTTCAAAGCATATTTTTAAAGCCATATTTTTCTTTGTTTTTCAGGTTGCTAAAGTACTATTTCTAAGATGGATAAGTCAGTTGATTCTGCAGACATGTCTCTTGAAGACATTGGCATGAATTCCAAAGACCTATTGGACAAGAGAGAAATTGACTGTGGGGGTTTTGGAAAAGTGTTCCTGTGCTGTCATAAGAAGCATGGCCTGGTTGTCCTGAAAACTGTGTTTACAGGGTGTAAACAAGATTCGTAAGTAACAAACTATTTTTATGTTACAAAAAAATAAAGGTGTTCCGTTCCTGATTCTCTACCTGTATTTTACAACACATAATCCAACACTGTTTTATCATTTCAAGAATAGGAAAGAAAACTTCTAACTTTTTTTTTTACTATCTGTGCCTAAGGTTGCCACCTGTATGGGTTTGACCCGGACAGTCCGGGTATGGGAGTCCAATATGTATTGTGTTTGGTTGTCAGGCGAGCTTCTACCTGGACACATGCTTGTTAAGCGTCCTGATTTGAGTCCCTGAGCAAATGTAAATCTCCCTATCGGCAGCGTCTCAGTTCCTTTGCCCTGCAGGCCTGTCATCAGGGCCGGATTCCCTACAAGGCCAGAGTGCAGAGGGGCAACAGCGTCTGTGGAATCCCCCGACGCCCGGAACACAAAGTTCTGGGCGGTAAGTTGCCTTCTACATTTAGTCCTGTTTTGGGAAGGCAGGACTAAATGTAGTGTGGTGAAGCCGCTTGTTGGTTTACATGTGATCACGTGTAAAATGTGTGCAGCCTGTCCGTCCTACTCTCCTCATCCCCCCCCCCGCGCCTACCTCTCTCTTCTGGTTCCATCCTTCCTCCGGCCGCCAAGTCTCTCCTTACTGGCCGCCATTGTGGGGAGCTGAGCCACAGGGTTAAAACTAACCCTGCCGCTCCGTGTATACAGTGAGAGGGGAGAGCTGTGCTCTTCCTCTCTCAGCTGTCACAGGAGTTCCAGCACAGTACTGTGCTAGAACGCCTGTAATGGAGGTGACAAGTTCAATAAAGAGAACCTGTCACCTCCAAAGGCTATCACACAGGGGCTTGTTAGCTAGCTCCAGTGTGATAGCAATAAAGTTAAGTGGAAAACAGAACCATTGCAGAACCTGGCCTTGGGGCAGCAGGGAGAGTAAATACGGTCCTGCCTGTCATAATGTAATCCGTGCTGAGCGGCTGTGAGCATTGAAGCTGGTATCGCCGCCTCTAAGATGCAGAATGTTAGTGATTCCTCTGGGAGCTGACAGCATTGGATTGCCTCTGAATGACCAGCTGCTGTGAGTATTTCAGGCTGGTCTTGTCTCCCTCAGTTGCCCCCCCCTCCCCTCCATGCTCATTATTGACAGAGGAGAGCTGACTCCAGATCAGAGGTGTGGCTGGGTGGGGTTACCATGGCAACAACCTCAGCTAGTGAGGCTCTGTCAACCAGAGAATGGACCGTTAACCCTTGCAGTGTGAGCTGCCCCAGTGTGTTCTGGCTCGAATGGTGCTGCAACGCTCTTGATCACATTTCCGCTGGCTCACTTTGCTTTGGGGTGGCAAGGGGCATGGTGGTGGTGCATTGAAGTCAATGGCACCGCAGCCACGCCCTCCAGCCGCAGTGCGATTGCCCGCACCGGAACGTGTGGCACATTAACGCCTGCGTTCCGGTGCGGTCGGACAAAATAGTGCCTGCAGCATTCTTTCTGACCGGACTGGAAGGCAGGCAGGCGACCGCACTGCGGCCGGAGGGCGTGGCTGTAGTGCCATTGACTTCAATGCACCGCCATGCCCCTTCCAGCCCCAAAACAATGTGATCCAGTGCATTCCGGCACCAATCGGGCCAGAACGCTGGTGTGAGCTAGCCCTAAAGAGGTAATAAAAAACCTTGCAGTGGGACTACAGCCCGCACTGCAAGGGTCCATTCACATTGTGCGCATTTGGCACATGCTATCGCACAATTCACCTAGCGTGTGGTTCCATGCGCTTGGTATGTTGCCCTGCAATTCATTTCAATGGCACCCCATGCAGCAGACATGCGTTAAAATGCAGCATGTGGTACCACAATACCATGCATTTAAAAAAAGTAGGAGAATTAACGACTTTTTTTCTCACCGTGCTGCAATACAACTATCTCTCCTCCCTCTCCCTCTGCCTCCCCCTGCTCTCTCCTGTATACTCTCTGAATAAAAGTGTTCGGGTTTAGCTCGCAGAAAAGGTGGCAACCGTATCTGTGCCCCGTTAGGAAAATTAACCTTCTGTGACAGACAGATAATTAAAAAAAAAATGTTTTATCCTGGTTACTTACTTCCTCTTGTAGGAAAACCTGACAGAAGTTCTAACCATTCTCCTCTATATCTAACATAGAAACATTGTTTGGTCTATAATGCACAGTTGAATGTAGAGCATTTGCATGTTGGTGGTGGTGATGCAGGCTGCTCATAATGCACTGTGGAGCAGCTTGATGATGTAATTCTCCTGGGTCTCTCCTCTGAGCACTCTGTGCCAGAATGAATTCATTCTCAGAAATGTTAATAGCACTTCATGTAGTAAACCTTCTGCTTTATCAGAAGGAACATATGGTCTAGTCTACAAATGCTGTTACAGCTGCCAGTGTACATTCTGTGCTTTCTGACTATTTTTGCTCCCTTTATGCAGTCATTTTGTGTGTGGTCATTACGATGTCAGGATGGTGCGGATAGACGAAGTTACACACATACAGGCCTATTTATTAAAAAAACTGCATAGCTGTGTGAGGTAACCAGCTGTTGTGAGAATTAGTGTTTTTAGTGTAATTTCTCTGCTGGTCAAATGTTCATTCATGTGGAACCTATGTGGATAGGGAAAATGCTGCATTATGGCCACTAGATGGAGCTGAGGATCACAGGAAATAAATACCTATTAGGAGTGTATGACATGTGTCTTCATGTATCACCCCCTCTGTCTCTATCACTAATCTACTCTGTGACATCTCAGCATGGATGTCACACCACCACCTCAAACTCAATCTGTCCAAACATGAGCGTATCATATTTCCTCCTCTCCGTGTTTACTCCCCCAACTTATCCATCACAATCAACAGCACAACAATCAACCCCTTCCGTCAAGCCAGGGTACTCGGTGTAATCCTTGACTCTGAGCTCTCCTTTCATCCCCACATCCAATCACTATCCAAATCTTGCGGACTCAACCTCCATAACATTTCTAAAATACTCCCCTTTTTAACAAACAAAACCACAAAGCTTCTAATTCACTTCCTTGTAATATCTCGCCTCGACTACTGTAACTCCCTCCTTGTTCGCCTACCACTAAACCGGCTATCCCCCCTTCAGTGCTGCTGCCATACTTATTCACCTCACCAACCGTTCAGTGTCTGCAGTCTCTCTCTTCCAAACCCTCCACTGGCTTCCAATTGCCCAACAAATAGAATTATAGTTACATAGTATTTGGGGTTGAATAAAGACATACGTCCATCAAGTCAAACCCATATAGGTCCACGCATCATCTCATTCTTAGGAATACTGGTATCCCTGAATATTACGGTCCCTCAGGAACTCGTCCAAAAGTTTCTTGAACAATTCTACACTCTTAGCTGAAATCACTGCCTGTGGCAGTGAGTTCCAGACCCTAACTGCTCTTACTGTGAAGAACCCCCCTTCGCCCATTGTGCTGGAATTTTTTCTCCACCAATTTTAGGTGGTGGCCTCTAGTCTTTGTAATGGTGTTTACACTCTTAAAGAGTTTTGTTGCAATGTTGCTACCACCATTGAACATCTTGTACATGAAAATCATCCCCGCTTAATCTCCTTACTTCCAATGTGAACATGTTTACATTCAGTAGCCTCGTCTCATAGCTCTGGTCCTCCATTCCCCTAATTAGTTTGGTTGCCCTCCGCTGGACTCTCTCCAGCTCAAGGACATCCCTTCTTAGTACCGGCAACCAAAACTGGACCGCGTACTCCAGATGTGGCCGAACCAATGATCTATAAAGTTGCAAAATTATAGACTTGTCTCTGCAATACATTCCCTTCTTAATACAGGACAAGACCCTACTAGCTTTGTTTACCACAGCCTGGCACTGCATGCTACCATTCAGTTTGAAGTCTACAATGACCCCCAAATCTTTTTCTATAATACATATCTTTCTATAAATCTTTTTCTATATACAAATCTTCTGTATAGAAATCTTTCTATAAATAATAAATATTATTATTAATAAATACTAACAACAACACACAAAGCCACCCATAACTCAGCCCCCGACTACATCTCCAACCTCATCTCAAAATATCACCCATACCGTCCTCCTCAGCTCCTCTCAAGACCTCCTGCTCTCTAGCTCTCTCATCACCTCCCCCCATGCTGGCCTCCAGGACTTCTCCAGAGTGCCCCCCCTTCTCTGAAACTCCCTACCCCAATCTGTCCACTTATCTCCTATGCTGTCCACCTTTAGGCAATCCTTAAAAACTTATCTCATCAGGGAAGCCTATCCTGCCTCAACATAACTGCCCTTTTACTTCTTCCACTAACCCAATCTAAACAAGTATTACCTTTTATGTGTGACTTGCCCCTCCTACTAGATTGTCAGCTCTACGAGCAGGGTCCTCCTAACCCTATTGTACTGAAATTGTATTGTATTGTAAATTGTATTGTAACTGTACTGTCTCCTCCATTTTGTAAAGTGCTACGCAAACAGTTGTCGCTATATAAATCCTATATTATAATAATCAGGAGCGCCTCGAGGCCAGGGGTCACCCGGAGCGGAGACCGGGTAATACCCCGCAATGACATAATCGTGCATGCGCATGATGTGATGACATCATCACGCATGCGTGTGGCCATCTTGGTGATGGACACCGGCAGAAAGAGGAGGGAACATTCACCCGGCGGGATGAGGTATGCTGCCGGGTCCACTCCTCTCTCCTGACACTGTCAGACTCTCGGTACATGACCGCGTGACCGACATTTTAGAGGGGGTGACACAAATGTCAGTCATTTTGGTGTCACCCGGGTGCGTGCCGCACCCCCCTTGTGACGCCACTGATAATAATAATAATGTTAGATGTGTGAGATACAATGTTACAATTCAAGAAACCACTGGAGAGAATGAGCATGTGAATGTAATTATTAATACTATGGGGATTCTTTGGGGTATGGGGCATGGGGTATCCACCCTGTAATTTCTGTCCCCTTTTTTTCCCCTTCTTTAGTTAGCAATATTGTTTTATGTTTTATATTTTACAAACTTACGCATAAATAAAGATTATATAAAAAAAAGCAGGGATAACAATGGTTACAGTTATATGCTAATTCTCTCCAGTGGTCTTTTGAATTGTAACATTGTATCTCCTTTCTAATAGGTATTTATTTCCTATGATCCTCCGCTCAGTCTAGTGGTCATCATGTTGTATTTTCTCCATTCACATAGGTTCTTTATAAATGCACCTATTGAAGAATATTTGACCAAAAAGAAATTACACTAACATCATTTGTTTTTGCCCCATTCTCACAACAGCTGCTTAACTCGCACGGAATGAATGTACATGTAGTTTTGCTGGATGAATAAGCTGTGTGGATTTTGTATAAATAGACTCCAAACTGTTGGGGTTAGTTTGCAATGTTAAATAGAAAATAATGGTGAAAATCTAGGTACACAGTTGGCTATGGTATATCTTTCTACCTCAAGATAAATGGAAATAATAACACAAATGATATATAAAGTTATTCTGGGGTTTATCTCTTAGACACCAATCTTTTTTTTTTTTTTAATTCCTCTATTAACTCTATATTTTTCCTGTTAATGACATAAAGCGGAATTCAACTTTGCAAGCAGTAATCTGTAATCTAATTGGTTGCCTGTTAATGACATAAAGCGGAATTCAACTTTGCAAGCAGTAATCTGTAATCTAATTGGTTGCCATGTGTTACTGCTTTGTCCACATTTCAGCTCTACTGAATAGGATTGCATTGGTATTAATACTCCACAACATATAACCAAGACCTGTGCAGTCTGAAGAGTATCTCACCCCCTCTTATTAAAGGAGAACTATAGGGTTAGGGCTTTTCCCCATAGTTCTCCTAAGGGTAACAGGAGGACACAAACAAGCGTCCTCCCGTCACCCTAAGCCCGATCTATTGAGCCGACCTGTGACAGTTTCATTGTCACAGGTTGGCTAGAACTATGAGGCTAAGTGATTTTCACTCGCCTCATAGTTCTCCTTTAATCGATCAATACACACCATTAGAAAATAGGGGTTTCTAGAGACACAAACCATTGCACAAGTGTAAGAAAAATATATAAACTTTTAATCCAATTCATATTACTGTATATACAAATTAGTGATCAGCAAACAGATTAAAACCTAATCCGAGAACCACATCCCATAGTGCTTACGCCGCCGGTCATGTCTCTCAGAGGTTTGTGTCTCTAGAAGCCCCTATTTTCTAATGGTGTGTATGCATTGGTATAAAACCTGCAGGGGGCAGGAAGGGTACAAAGGCAGCAACACAATATAGATGCTGGATGCTTTATGTCTTTATGTGATGTCAATGTTCACATCTGCAGCTGAGAAATAATGTATTCTACTTTTGTATTTATAGATACAAAAATGATCTTATGCAAGAGGGAAAAATAATGTGTAAGCTGAATCACGAGCGAGTTGTAAAGCTACTTGGTGTTATCTTGGAAGATGGCAACTACTCTTTGGTGATTGAGTACATGACAAAGGGAAATTTGCTAAGTGTCTTAACTAAGGTATGGTACGGTATCATTTTATGCATAATATCCAAACTGCATACCACAACATAATAATCATAGTAATAACTTCCTTTTTGTCAAAAACATCTTTATTGACAAATCTAAAACAATCTACATTTCAGTAGCGTCCTAAACTGTGTTTCTATATATTTGTCTACAGTAGAGCAAGTATAATATTCAGATAACACTGGTAAAAGGGGTTTTCCTCTCTTTTGGCCATACTTTGCATTAGAATATAGTCACGGTTCCTCCTTTTATACTTTATAGCCATAATAGTGTCATTGGGATTCTCTTTATAAACTGACCACTTAGGGCTAAGCTACGCAGGTTATTTAAAACTGGTACCTGTATTCTACAACACATAATCCAACACTGCTTTATCATTTGACTCATAGGAAGAGAAAACCGCTTGTGTAGTTTTAGCCTTAGCAATGTTTACCTGCCCTGAAATCCTGTGACTGAAAGTATATCCACAAACAAAACTTTTTTTCTTAGTTTTGGATAGCGTGTGACAGTGATAGCAGTACCCCTGCCAGGTTTTGATTGCTTTCTGTGTCCCCACTGGGGAGATTGAACCTCTCTATTTGTTCATTGTCACCAGGAAATAAAACTTGTGGGAAATCCAAAATTGTACAGCTGTCTACAGAACAGGATGTGAGGGAAAATCATGCAGTGGGGACATCTGTCCAAGTAGAGATTTTTCCTGACTATGGAGACAATTCCACTCACTTCCTGTTGTATCAATCGGACAGGAAGTGAACCTTTTCAATTAGACATAAGACCAAATGTAACCCATCACACTCCTGACCGGAAGTCCCAACAGTAGGGTGGGTGCATTAGCGACAGCAGATGCCTCCGCAGATCATGTAAATTCAAGTAGAAAGTCACTCGCACTCCAAAATGATGCCCAGTCAATCCCTTTATTGACTATGGTAGTGTAACATCTCAAAGCGACATTTTGGACCATGTGGTCCCTTCTTCTTTTTGCCTGAAGAAGGGACCACATGGTTCCGAAACGTCGCTTTGAGATGTTACACTACCATAGTCAATAAAGGGATTGACTGGGCATCATTTTGGAGTGCGAGTGACTTTCTTTTCAATGAGCCACACACATTAAACAGAAAAATCTGTTTTTTTTCCTTAGATATATTTTCAGTTCCTTTCAAAGTCCATCAAAATTTTCCAAGAAATTTCCATATAGTAATACTTGAACACTTACAGATCAATTAACACTTGACAGTCCTTCCAATCTACTCTGCAGCTGCCAATAATTGCCCCTTATTAGAGATGACTAACTTGTTTTTCCAACTTTTGTTTTTTAAGACCAGTTCCACCCAGCTATAGTGAGCTCTATGAAGCTAGATAATGGTGTCATGCTTGTGTTGCATAATATTTAATCAGTTATTATTAATTGCATTTCCTGTTCTATTTAAATCTAGGTTGTAGTGCCCATTTCAGTGAAAGCTCGTTTTATCATGGAAATTATAGACGGAATGATCTATCTGCATAGTCAAAAAGTGATCCATAAGGACCTGAAACCAGAAAACATTTTGGCAGATGATGATTTTCATGTTAAGGTAGGTTTTTTTTTGTTAGGGGCATACTGTGTTTATAAATCAATTAATTTGACTTTCACCAAACATTCACTGGTGGTGAATCAATCACTGTAATTCAAAACACATGCCCCAGGAAAATTCGCCTGCAGTGAATGTATGGTCAGTGTCAGATTCCCTGCTTTATAAGTATTCCCCTTTGAATACATCCTTTTAAACATGCTTCCTCTTAGAAATTGGAACACATTTTTTATTTCTGGAGATGTCACTTGCATAAGCTACTAACAACCCTCATGATGTGTTTCCTTTAATCATGTCTCCAAAGATTGCAGATCTTGGCGTTGCAGCTTTCCAGAAATGGAGCACTTTGACAAAAGAGGAAACCAAGCGCCAAAAGAGTCAGAGCAAAAAAACAAGTTCTTCCAAGGCCAGCATTGGTGGGACGTTAAGCTATATGGCACCTGAGCACTTCAAAAATATCAACACGAAGGCCAGTGAAAAATCTGATGTGTACAGCTTCGGAATAGTTATCTGGGTGATACTAAGCAACAGTGAACCTTATGAACGTAAGGAACAAGTTTGTGTTGTCTATTGTTTTGTAATATACTTTTTTTTTTTTACATTGGTGTACTTCATTAAAAATGTATGTCATCTACAGCCTTGGTTCTCAACTGGTGGGTCGCGACCCCGTGTACAGTGGGTCTTCGCATGCCTTCCACTTCTCAGCCTCCCCCTAGCGCAGAAGTGTCAGCTCTCGCGCTGAGCAGCCATTCATATGCTGCTCTGCGCCGAGTGTTAGCTTGAGGTGGGGCAGGCTGGGGCTATGGCCGTGAGGAAGCTTCATCCATACATGCATTGCTTACATCTTCCTTGCATGTCCTGTAGAGGTGCCTGGACCGGGGTGACATCACATTCTGGCTCCCGGCATCTCTACAGGGCGTGCAAGGGGGTTGTACAAGCAAGCAATGGACACATGGATGGCGGTCCGTCACAGCAGAGCAGCTCACACTGGACCCCAGACTAAGGATCCACTCCAGTTCTCATAGGGTAGGGAGACTGGGTGGATCTTAAAAAATATTTTAAAAAATAAGAAAATGTTTTGGAGTGTTTATATGTGTGTGTGTGAGATTGTGTCTGCGGTTGTGTGTGTCTGTCAGTGTTTTTGAGGACCCGCTCACACCAGTGCAGTGCGTTAATCGAACAGTCAGAACACACTGTAGCATTTGAATGGCAATTTTTCATTAAATGGACTATTGCTTAACTACTACTATGGTGTGCTAGTGACATGATTTCTTCATTTGTGTTATTTCACGGTGCCGTCCGTGGTCACTACAAGCACCCACCCGTCTGCATGGGTCTTTTGGATATTCCGGTAAGGAGTGCAGCAAGACCTCTGGTTCTTGACACACTGTACCACACAATCGCACCTACTATGCACTCTGGTGTGGAAGGTGCGTTGCGTTGTCATTCATTTGAATGGCACCCCAAACGCACCACCCGCCCACAGTTCAATCGCGCGCACCGGAACCCGCGGTACCGCAATGCCATGCGTTCCATTGCAGTGCGACTTGGGTCGCAACTTAATGACCAAGGACAAATGTGGGTCCTGAGGTTACACAGGTTGAGAACCACTGATCTACAGTGTACTTTGACACAGTGTGGTTCTCTGCCTCTTTCTGCCCCTTGACAGTACAGTCACCTATAGGCCTGAGATGACAGTGACCTGAAATGGGAAATTTCAGTTAGATCCGACTTTTGCCCATGAATCCCACAAATGACAACTAGCTGGCTGCTTTTAGGGAAGTAATCAAGCATGTTAGAACTGAACTAATCAACAGGTGAACGAAGAAACAATGAGTATGTGTTGCTGCGGTACCAGGCATTAAAGTGTATCCAAACCTAAAAGCAAAAATGTAATATATTGCAGCTTACCTCTCCTTAGATGTGGTAGCTACATTAGTTTTCTACATTCACCTGGTGATTCTGCCAATAATGCACTTTCTGACCTCGGGTTACATCACTCACTTACTGTGCTGTATCTATGGAGGAGCAGAGTTATCACAAGAAGTGTGTTAAGACTACAGAACACATCCTCCTCATAACATACAGGAGCTGTTCTATAGTCCCCAGAGAGAACTTAGACAGGGTGGATAGCATTGTTTAAGATTTAAGTGCAGTATTGTCATCTAACTAAGGCAGTTAGAAGCTCACTGGGTCATCTGATTATACAGCTATAGCAAAGCTTTTTCAATGATATACTGTATTTAACAGACTAAAAGGGAGTGAATAAGAGAAGTTCATTGTTAGGGTTTGCATACACTTTAAAGTAGGGATGCAGCAATACCATTTTTTCAAGACTGAGTACGAGTACCGTTAGTTTTCCTCAAGTACTCGCCGATAACCAATTACTGATACTTTTTTATTTTTTTTAGTGTCATGTGACAGTTTTTCTAAAACAATACAGACTAATGATGATTTTAGGACAGTGGTGAAGTGCAAGGGCTCCAGTCCCAGCTGCAATCGCTGCGACCCTGGTAGTTCTGCCACTGACTCCAAGCTGTAGAGGGACTACAAATCTCAGCAATACAGAATACCACCAGCTAGAGATAACTAAAAATCCCAGCAATACATTGTACAGCAATGCAGAATAATGTGTACATAGATACTTTGTGTTGCTCACCAGAGCTGAGCATGATCTCAGGAGGCTGGGCGGAGTCTGATCAGGGCTGTATGGGGTCTAACCAGGGCTGCGTGGCGTCTAACTGTCAGGGATTCTTACCCTTCCTTGTCCAGTTGCTTGCAGCGTGGCTTGTGTAGTGTTTCTGACACTGTTCCTCTTTGGCGCCTTCTTATGACCAACCCCATTAACATCATCATTCTACAACTATTGGCCAACTTCAGACAAATTCCTGTCTCAGATTGATGATGCAACACCAGCTCACTATTTAACCTTCACCTTGCCTATTCAGTCTCTGCCCTTGCATGTGTTCTGATCTACCAAGTGCTCTGCAGTTCCTGTTCTCCGTATATGACTCTGGCTCTGGCTGACTGATCTCCTGCTTCCTGACTCAGGCTATTGTTTCCATTCATCCTGCTCTCTGTGTTCCCTGACCAGATTTGGCTGACTACCCACTTTGGCATGAGACCTCTGGCTTGACACTGACGACGTTCTGGACTCTCCATTTTTTTTTGCATTTATGTTTATTGTTTTTGAAAAGTGTGCATCTGTATTTTTGTTTTTCATTTTTCTGTTTTTTCTTTTTCTTTTTTTCAGATGTCATTAGTAATGACCAGCTTTCACTATGTGTGAAAGGGGGCCAAAGGCCAGCCGTGACTGTGGATATTAAAGCAAGCTTAGAGGAGGCAGCCAATCTCATGGAGGAATGCTGGAAGGATGAGCCAGATGAACGGCCTTCTTTTCAAGGTAAAGTTTACAACAGATCTTTTACCCTTTTCATGTTTACCTGAAAAAAATGGCAAACAAGGTTATCATTTTATTAAGCATTATATTTTAACCACTTTAGTACCGATGTTTATAAATAAACGTTCTGTACCAAAGTGGTTAAAACCACTGGCTTTCACATACAACTAATCACTTGTATGTAGCTTCAGAATGTTCAGAATGTGCTTCTCCCCCCCCCCCCCCAACTGCCAATGCTGGCTATCCTGGGCTCCACTGTTGCCAGTGCAAACCCAGGACTGGCAAAGCATGTGGAACGCTGTGCGATCAGCACAGCTTTGCTGCCTGTCATTTCTTCGTGGCTTCAGAATAAGCTGATGACGATCTGTGTTTCATCAGCTTGTTTGGGTCCATATGTGATAATAGAGGTCTAATAGAGGACTTGAGGGCTTGTTAGCCCACTATATCATAGAAACAACGTTGAGTGTAAAAACATTTTAAAAAATGAAGGTGACTTAGTAAAAAACGCAAATATGCATTGAGTGCCCCCTACAAGGACAAAGCACAGTTTCATTTTAATTCATAATAGCAATTCATACAAACCAATCTAGATATGGACAGAACAGGGGAGGAGGGGAACAGCTGATGATGTCCTTTTTCCAAGATGCATCTGAAAAGCCTAAACACCTTGTGACCAGGAAGTTTTTTTTCTACCCAGTCTATTCCAATTTTAGTTTGTATTATTGCGGGGCCACCCATGGGGACTGTGCATTGTTTACCTTTTATACTTTAGATCTGTTAATTGGACACAATTTGACAATGTTATTGTAACAGTGCTTTGTATTTTTATTTCTATTCTCTTGGGGATATTTTAGCTTTAGATCTTGGAGGATGGGGGATCATAGTAAATGCACGTTGAACTGTTTTTTCATTCCCAAACAAATCCCCTTACCCTCCCAACTATATTAGTTGTGAAAAGTACAGAACTAAGATTTAACATTTCATTGGTCAAGATGGCAGATCAGCACAGCTTTATTATTCTTAGCCAGCTGAGCACCGTACTTGCACAGGCACTAGTTGGCTGTATAGACATCAATGTGCTGCCTATACATCAGTACGTGGACTAATCTACAGGTAGTCAACTCAAAACTATGTAGCCAAATGAATGCATGGCTAGTATTAGGCCTCATTCACATTGTTAAGAACTGGTCCATACAGATCCGTGCGGCAAGCACGGCCGTATCGGGCTGCTTCTGGGAAGGACAGATGCTGCATGTGATTGTACGCAGCAGCCTGTTCTTCTCTATGGGAGTACGCAGCCGTATGCTCACCGGGCTGCACATCCGTGCAAGTGCGGGTGTCCTTACTCGTACGCAGACAGGATGGATCCTGTCTGCGTCCAAGCACGGACACCCGCACGGATGTGCAGTACGGGTGAGCGTACGGCCGCGTCCTCCCATAGAGAAGAACAGGCTGCTGCGTACAATCACACGCAGCACCTGTCCTTTCCGGGAGCCTTTGTCTATATGGGCCGGTTCTTATCAGTGTGAATGAGGCCTTAAGCCCAGACAGCTAGAAATAAAAGACATATAAACAAAGCCTGAAGAGCTGTGTGGAGCTGATCTGCCACCTGGAAAAATGAAATAACTGATATGAGGTCTGTACTCTTGTTACCAATAGAGAGAGAGAAAGAGGATATCATTTTAGGTAAATGAGTTCCCTGTGTCATTTGTGTTTTAGACTGTGAAAAACAATTCAGGCCAGTGTATTCTGAAAAATATGAGGAGAACATTGAGCGTGATATTAAGAAATTGCAGGTAAGCGGCAAATGACTTTAAATATATTTAGAGCGATTTTAGAGTCAAACGAATTTCAAGATATTTTAATTGCTGATTGAATCACTTACAATGGATGCTGCAGCTTTATATTTTAAAGTTTTAGTTGCCTGCAGAATCAGCTGGTCCCCTGAGCACTGGACCTGATACCCTGTTTTAGGATGTCTTCTTTCCCCTGCAGGGTCCTATGGAGCCACCTTGTGTGTGCTCGTAAATTGTGTGTCTCCATAAAAAAAACCAAAGGCACAGTAAAGCAAATCACTCCCCTGCTCTCTGCTCCTCACTCTTCCCTTCTCCAAGCTAGTATATTGACAGCTGCTGGAGACTGCTTTGTCCCTTGTGACCTGGACTGCATAGGAGGTTCAGGGATGTGGCTAAGAGAGTTGGAGCCAGCTGTTTGACTCTAAGTACAAGGGCAAAAGTGTACAAGCGTAAAACAATACATAACATTTCTGTATTGTGCTAGTATAATTTATATTTCTTGACTGTAAAAAGCTGAGCATATCCCTGCATCTCCCATATAGCAGTAGCTGCAGATTTCCTTTACTTCCAGCTGTATGAAACAAGCAGCACCCACAGCTGATCCCTCCCACAGATTCCTGCTCAACTCTACACTACATTTCCCATGATGTGATTTATGGCACATGTCATAGGAAGGGGGTGTTCCAATCTACTTCATTGTGTGGAGAGCTCCTTCTCCTTCAGCACTGGACAGTATTGACCCTGGACTGAATTGATGGATTGTATTTACTGTATATGCGCCCTACTCTGTTTAGTTGCTCAGGCAGTGATGCTGTACAACTTAGGCAAGCTGTCTGACACTTTAAGCTTTACAAATAATTTTTTGGGTGGGGAAGAATGGCATGGGGAGGTTCTGATTTGAGGCAGAACACAGACTGAGCAGAAATGTTTGGGTACAGAGGGTTCCCACTAAGGAATTTAGAATAGTGTGTCAGTGTGCAAGCTGCTGATTTGTACAATATGTTAATGTTTATGTGCTTTGTATGCCTAAAAAACTTTACTGAGGTACACAGGGTGTACAGAGCATGTTCTTTCCCTCCCACTGCTGTCCCTCCCTCCTGACACTTTTAACAGCAATTCACAGCTGTCAAAATGACAGCCAGTACTTGCTGGGTTTATAGAACAGCCGACTCTAACTACTGTTGTGAAAAATGCATCTTTTGATTAGTGTTTAAAAACTCTGCTCAGGCTTGAGATAGAACATAACATTATTGTTTCTTTGTATGTACTGTTTAATTTTATCTGCAGATCGGAGTGATGAGGTTTGATCTGCATATGATGTCAGTTAAAGTGACTCTGAACGCAGGAGTTAAATCTTAAAAATACATTCAATTACCCTAACTATTAACAATAATGTATCTTATTTGTGTATCACTCAGCTTTAGATCTTCAAATCATCTCTGAATTGGAGCTGACACTGTTCTTCCTTCTGAAGGGTGGCTACTTTTTTTCCCAGGGTCCATGTGTGTGTTGTAAAGTAGCCACCGCTCCAAGCTCACTCCCATGATGGACTATAATTTCAATACAAACTGGTTAACTAAATGTGAGTTTGAGTTTGTAGTCCATCACGGGAGCAAGCTTGGAGCGATGGCTGAAAGATATATATACCGTATTTTTCGCTCCATAAGACGCACTTTTTTCCCCCCAAAAGGAGGGGGAAAATGTGCCTGCGTCTTATGGAGCGAATCCCGACGCCCGAGACATGCAGTTTCGGGCGTCGGGCGAGTAGTAGGAGCCACTGCTCGTTTAATACGAGTGATCTAATGAGATCACTCGTATTAAAGCCGGGCGGCGGCGATCAAGTTCAGCAGCAGGAGCCACTGCTCGTTCAATACGAGTGATCTAATGAGATCACTCGTATTAAAACCGAGCAGCGGCGACGATCGAGATCACCATAGAGCAGACGAAGAACGGACTTTCTTCGTCTGCTCTGTGTGATCACTGAGACCGTGGCGCTGTAATCACAGCGCCACCTGTCTCAGCGGTCACTAACTGCAGCTTCTGTCACAGCTTCTGTCATAGAAGCTGTGTCAGCAGCTACAGTCTGTCGAGTGCTCCATAAGGCGCGCCGGACCTCCCTGCGTCCTATGGTCTGGTGCGTCTTATGGACCGCAAAATACGGTATATGTTTTTATCTACAAAAAACCCTTGTAGTCCAGGGGCACACGCCTTATGAATCGCCTTGTGCCTGAATTAGACCCGCTTTGCTAGTTTGGAGGAACTTCAGACATGCAAAGGCATTGTACATCCGCACACAGGTCTTTAAGATATCAGCTCTTTCATTTTATTACATAAAAGTGACAGTACAAAACAGTAGCGCTCCTCCCTCACCAGCAACGTTCAGATTTTGTCTGCTCCAGTCTTGATAAGTTCCCCTCATGGTGCTCTGTAAATGAACAAGGGGAGAGGAGGGGTGGATAAATGACAGTATGGCTTCTGTGTATGAGAGCTACAGCTCTCTTAGTTGCAGCACCAAAACTATAGCCATAGCTGCTACCTTCCGGCATGTACCTGCTTCTCATTCCTTCTCATTAACGATCGACAATTCTTTCAACAACATTTTTTTGCACTTCCTGGAAAAATAAGTTGATTAGATATTTGGGTGCCCAGATTCCTTCTTCTGATCTCACGCACTTACTGTATGTGCTGTGAATCACCTTCAGCTGCTACAGCAGACATTACAGGAACTTAAAGATTGGTCTCAGCGTCATCCCTCTTGGTTTGGTAGAATGGCTGCTTTTAAAATGTCAGTTTTGCCTCACTTTCTCTATCCTTTCCTATTTATTTACACTGTACCTTTTTTGCCCGCCTCAGAACAGTGCTACTTGGATACAGTATGTGTATGTATGTATATATATGTATATGTGTGTGTATGTGTGTGTATATATATATATATATTGTAACAAGGTGCCAGTAAAACCTGCCAGGTTGGCAGGAAAAGTAATAGATGGTAGATACTTTTTTCCACGGATCCTTAGATTCATCATCTAAAATAGGCCCAACCCCCCCCCCTGGATTGGCCTAGGCCCCCTGCATCTGGAACTGTATTACAAAGCCTCATTACTGACCTACATTTTGGATCGTCGTTTTAGTGACGCTCATAAATGATGGGTCTCCATTGTAAGAGCTATCTCTCCTGTTCTCCTGTACTTCTTAGATAAGACCCACTACCCTGAGTGGACCCTCTACCTTTTGCTAAACCCCCTTGTTGACAGTGTTGGACTCCCTCCTGAAGACAGAAAACATTTTATATTATGTTGGACCCCTGTAATGGGTAACCCAGATACCCCTCCAGGAGTCAATGAAGACACTTTTTTTCATCTGGGATGCGGATCGCCTTCTTCTATTTGAGTGGCCTTGGAGTCTGGGAAATTGAGGTCGTTGTTGTCCCTCACTTCAAATAGTGGTCTATGGCTTCAATATTTTCAACTAAGGGATTTCTTTTAGGTCTTAGATCATCATTTACAAGTATTGCAGCAGGATGGAGAATTTGACCATGACAGAACTGAGATGTATATCAATACATGGAGCACACGGCTTTTGTATATGGTATCTATAGACTTTAAAGATTTACTAGCAACAGATACCCTATCAGTTAAGTCATGAGGGTCCCACAACCTACCTTTGACCTCTCGCTACACACCCATGTGTATATTTCTTTCTTTTCCTCTTCCCCTTTTACTTTTTATAAATGACGGTGTGTGTGTGTTGTGTGTTGTGTGTGTGCGTGTGTGTGTGTATATATTATTTTTCTCCTTGCTTTTTCTTTTTTTTCATTTATTTCACTCCCTTGCTCCTCCTGTTTTCTTTTTTTATGCTGATCCCTCTCTTGGCCACTTGTGCACCTCCCATATGTGAATTTATATGAGGCACTGAATTATACACACTTATGGATAATGTGTGCTGCCTGAATTGATTGACTGTGTCTCTTTTGCCTTTTTTTCTGTGTTGATATTCATGTATGGGAGGATTTGCTCTGAAACTTTTTGTATCTTTTTTTGTATGGTTTATTAATGTTTTATATACTTAATAAAAATGCATTATGAAAAAAATATTCAGTGGAAAAAAAAACATTTACCAACTAAAAGAAAGTATGAATTAACTATGAAGATTTTTTCTATTTACAGTCCAAAACACATGACCTGGGGTAACTATTTTACTATTATTGTAGTATAAATGTGTCCGAAGTTCTGCTTTAAATACAATATTACTTTTATTACTATATCTTCTATAGTAATAACTAGGGTTGCACAGATACCAAGTACAGTACTCGGTACAAGTACGAGTACATGTACCGATACTTTTGAGCTCCAAGACTAGACTAGAGAAAAATTCAAAAATTAGGAGGTAGCTGTCATTTCTAAGGAGCACACGGAGCTCCTAGGATTTGTACATCTCTGTTTTAATGTTGTTTTTATAGATATAAATAAAGGGATGCACAGATACCAGTTTTGCGAGTACGAGTACTGGCACTTGCCGAGTACTTACAAGTATGAGTACTGATACATTTTTGTTTATTGTCATGTGACAGTTTTTCTAAATCAATACAGACTAATGGTTTCAGGACAGTGGTGGAGCGCCAGAGCCAGGACCCAGCTGCAACTACTGCACCCCTGGTAGTTCTCATGAAAATGCCAAGTATCTGCACTGGTACTCGAAAAGTATCTGTGCATCCCTATAATAATAACTATAAGTAATGACTATTATCTTCTGCAGTCACTTTTCAGAATTTTAAACTTGTTAGGTACAATATTTGATCAGTTTCTGTTTGGGGGGCCTGGAAATCCCTTTTTGAACTAGGTGGAATTTTGGAGCTATAAACAGAGTGCATTGTGTGAGAACACAGCCTGCTCATAGTTTGTTGGTATAGACTGTATTACAAAAAATGCTGAACTAAGCAAAAAAGTCGCCAAATGCATTTCCAGGGTTGGCCAAAAGTTTTCTAGGATTCATTCTTATTGGGAGGCCTAAGGTATAAGGTGCAAAGTACTGGTCATCATATTTTGGCTACTGACAATTGTTTTAATGGTGTAGTTTCAACATTCTTGTGAAGCTGCACAATAGTTTATTATAAATTTGTTGCCTCCTACTTTATGACTGAGTGTCTCCAATTAAACAATGTAAAACTTTCTCATGTATAGTATAAATGATATGTCATTACATTTATTTCATACATTTAGAAAGATTACCCTGAACCAGAAGCATTTATACAAAGGATGGCATCTTTGCAGATAGATTGTGATGCAGAAGATCCCAGTTTGCCAGTGAGAGGTATGTTGCCTTCTGTATATATTATGTTCTTACATAAAAGGCCAGAACTATTTCATGCTGTAAGAAGGGACTGCTACAATTAGTTGACCGAATAATTACACCTTGTCACTGGAAATCTCCATTATTACCCACTATTACAGAATGGGCAAAATAATTGTCCAATATTATAAGGATGGAGCATCTAACCTCACAAATCAATGACAGAACTAAGAGTTATAATGCGATTTAACAGCCTTTGAACGTGGGATGATTGTTGGCGCTCGGAGCCATGGAGCGAGTATCAGCAAAACAGCAGAATTCGTTAAATGTTCAAGAGCAGCTGTTAAAGTGTTTAAAGACTGAACTGTCAGCCGAAAATCTGGGTCTGAACGTGTGAATTGTGGCCGTCAGCGACTAGTCAATGTTAGGGCAGAACGGAGAGTGGCAAGACTGGTACAAGACAACAGAAGGGCAACAGTGCAGTGTCAGATTCCTCGCATCACCTTTCAACATCTCGTGGAGTCACGAGGCGGCCCAACAAAGTCATCTCATGGCCCAATGAAGTACTGATGAGGTGGTCATAATAATCTGGCCACTCAGTGTATATACATCTTATTGGAATACCTGTTACATATTAACCCTTATAGCCCTAGATTGCATATCAAATACATGAATATAAATAAAAAGATAATCCAAGATTAAATATGCCTATAATGATTACTATACATAGTTGTTATGATAATAACTGCAATATAAAAAACACTGATAACTTATTGCACAGTCAGCTTCCAGGTGGATGACTATAAGCCATGAAGGATTGTTGTAATCACTCAGTTACAACACCCTGCACATAATATCTGTAATAGTACAGGAAGATGTAAACAGTACTTGCTAAATATATATTTACCTAAAACTTGATCTTAAGATATAAAAAGGCACAATGCATAAAATGATGAAGCAACGTTTCATTTAAATTGGTGCGGGAAAGGTTAATTAATTTGAAATCACATAGTTTCCACTACTTACATGATTTAGTGATGTAGCTTGGGGCACAGTTGCAAATGACTTTCTATGTTGTTAGTATGTGGAATTTTACTTGGGTGAGTGGAAGCAAATGGAGGGATTGGCAGAGAGCAGCGGGGGATACTGAATGGTTGGTGTGGTGAATAAGTCTGACGGCATCATTCATGATAGACTGGAGTGGGGATAGTCTATGTAAAGGTTGGCCAATGAGGAGTTGCAATAGTTGAGGCAAAAGAAGACAAGAGAGTGAATTAGTAGCTTGGTGGAGTCATTGGTTAAGAAGTGGTGTATACTGGTAATGTTAGAGGTGAAGGCAGCAAGATTTGGACAGTGAATGGATGTGGAGCCTTAAAGGAGAGGTCAATGTCCAGGATTACACCAAGCACCCTGGTATGAAGGGATAGATTAAAAGTTGTGCTGTTGATCACAATAGAAAAGTCTGAAAGACTGAGCTTCAGAAAGTGGTGTAACATCCATACAAACACTTCATAACAGCCAACATGTCAAATTAAATGTAAATTCAAGTATAAATCTTTCTTCTGTGGGAAAATAGAGGCCGTTCTTGTTTGAGGCATTTCAAAAAATAAAGGTTTATTGGAACTGCTTTAAAATAATTTAGGAACGGTAATACAGAGAAAGATTCCAATGGCAACCACTCATTTTCATCCATGATTCTTGTAGGACCCCTCTTTGGGTCTGCTTTTACATAGATTACATGTACATCTGGTTGGGATAGTGTCTTCAGTCTGTATCTGTCTTCATGCCCACCAATTGTGCAAGGCACATGTGCTATTAAGATGACCCTAGTGATTAGAAGATAGTTTTTTTTTATTCACTATTTTTTCCTGTTTGACATGTTTTGTCCTTCTCTAGATACGCCCAGGTCTTTGCACAGCTCTCTTGGCTTGGGACAAGGAAACGTGAATGAGCATTTGTTTAGGCCTTCCAATGAGCCAGAAGAGAGTGAAGAAGAAAAGTTAAATGATAACTTGCAGCGGAAACTGGACGAAGAAATGCATTATCATCAGACTGGCAGTCATATTGACAACATGGTTAACCCTTCCAACCCAGACGCTGTAAGTGAGCTCAGAAGCCGTAAAGTATTTCATGAACCATGTGATATGCCTCCACAAACTCCAGGGAATTTTACACCTTTCAATGGACCGCACAGCCCTGAACAATCTGCTCAGATGGCCCCAGGCTACAATTATCAGTTTCCTGAGTATTCTCCGGGGGCATATGGCCCCACCCCCAACAATGTTGGATATGTTTTGCCTAATGAATACCAAAGAATGCCCAATTCACATCTTTTAGATAATTCGTCAAGTACACCGGAACCAGCGGCAAGTCGTTATGAGCAAAGCTGGCAAGGGTTGCCTGGTTCTGTACCGTATGATTCTACTAAAGTTCCTGTTGCAGAATCTGGGATGCCAAGTCTTTATCCACAATACGGAACCTATCCATATGCTAGTGGTGTCAGCCACACAGTAGGTGAGTGTACTTTTGCAGCTTTCCCATACAGCACTGTTGATACATGTCCCATGCTTTTTTCAAGACTAGTTTAGAGCATAGGAATTTTTCTCTATCAATGGGTTACCTGCTAGATTTATTAAAGGAAACCAGTGCTATGAGATATGCAAAAGTTGCTGGCCTCTCATTATAAAAAATGCTAATTACCTGGCTATCATGATGCTAAGTTAATGATCTAGAACAAGTATGCAAATCAGTAGTTCTGACTTCCCTTACTGCATGCTTAGTTTGGTATTGGTAAATTTTAGGAGGTCTCCAATTTTAGACTATTTATGTCTCCTGGCTTAGTATTTCTTTTAAAAAGCCATTCTAGCAACTTAGAAAACTGGAATATTATAAAAGAAAGAATGCAATGCTAGTTAGAGGGTCCACTCAATTTACCTTATTTTAAATGATATTTAATCCATTGCAGCCAGATATCAGTGACATTATCACTTGTGGTCTACTTCCTGAGAACTGTGCTGATCACAGTGGGGGGGATTCAAAAAAGCCCTTTTGCCAGTTTTGGTAGTTTTACTGACACTTGCATCAGACTCATGGTAGTCTTTCTTACCTCCACTCTAAGAATATGTTGCTATGGCTGCAGCAGAGTCAAAGAGAATTACTGACAGTTTACAGTTTGGAAAACTTGTGGTAATTAAGATTGATAGATTGATTGCAATCTCGCATACAGAGAGATGCCAGTACTCAGAGTGAGGCATGAATGCGCTTGAAGCAGTCACAATTTTGACAGCTTCCCGTTCATTTGTTGCTAGGACACTGGCCTGCCATAGTCTTAAACAACCAATTATGCATCCCCAGCCCCATTTGGCTGACGACCAGAAGATTCCCCAACCGACGTCTGAATGTAAACAAATTGCTCGGGGATGCTGGCTGACATCATTAACCAAATATGGCCCTATTTGGGTTATGATGTCAGCCAGCATTGCTCTTGTTTGCATTCAGTTGCCTTACATTGAGTGGGCAGAGCCTGATGTGAATCTTTTAGAGCCGAGTTCCCCATCAGGTCCGCTTTGCCATTGATTGACAGCAGGCACTGGATGGGTGCCATAGCCAATAGCAGGCTGGCTATGATACCTTTCCATTGCCTGCTATCAATATGAAGCATCGTGGACCTGATGGGGAACTCAGTTCTCAAAATTGATGTATCAATATACACAATTTGAGTGACGGAAAGCATTAATGTAGTATGCACCTCACAGACAGGTGCAACAAACACAACTGCAAGTGGGGCCAGTGGCGTAACCAGAGTTATGGGCGCCCGGGGCAGAGCCCGGATCGCCGCTATGCTATCCGGGCTGGCTGGATAAGGCAGACGCGCCCTCCAATTAGGCACTGTAGAGGGTCGCTCGCAGTGGCCTCGGAGGAGCGAGCGGCCGCCCGATGACAGCCGGGTGAATGTGGCAGAGAAAGGGAGCCAGGGGCTTCGTTTAGCGGGGGTCGTGACGGCGCCCCCCCTCAGTCCTGTGCCCGGGGCAAGTGCCCCACCGGTTGTTACGCCACTGAGTGGGGCACCTATACTTAGTACACTGAACCTTTAGCGCCCGTTTGCTCTAATTTGCCTAGTTGTTTTTCAAGTATTGAAATTGAAGCGACATGTTACTAGATAGTAAGGTTGTAAAAAAGACACAAGTTCATCAAGTTCAACAAAGAATGAATAGATAAATGTAAAATTTCTCTATATAGAACCTTATACCCAAAACTGATCCAGAGAAAACCAAAATAAACCTTTTATAAAGCATTGACTAATTTGCTGCAACAGGAGAAAAAAAAATTGGATATTTCCTGAATCAGAAATATCTGAGGTTATTATAAATGTTTATAGACAGTTATATTCTGTGCATTAAGAAATGTACCCAGCTTTAAAAAAATAAACAAATAAATAAAAATTAACTGAGCTGATTAAAACATTTTTTTGTTTTCCATACATGACCCTTATCAGTTCAGTTGCCCTTCTCTGCAGTCTCTCCAATTCCCCAACATTCTTTTTGTGAACTGGTGCCCAAAACGGAACTGCATATTCCAGATGAAGTCTTATTAATGCCTTGCATGGGGGCAAGATTATGTCTTTTCTCTAGAGTCTGTAATTGCCTTGCTTTTGAAACTGTAGCTTAGCATTGCATGATGTTATTAAGTCTACGGTCTACCAGAACACCCAGAGACTTCTTGATTACTGACCAGTAGTACTCCCCCTAGAATGCATGACGCATTCATGTTTTTAGCCTCTTTTATTTATCACAAAGTTGCACAATCAGTGCATTGATCTCTGCTTATAAATTAGAGATATCCTGTAAGGACTTCATTACACTGCATACATTTTTTTCCCCATAGTTCTCTTAAGGGTCACAGGAGGACATATACTAGCGTCCTCCCGTGACCCAAAAGCTCAGTATAAATCCATTTATCAATCGATACCACTCAGAATATCAAGCACTTTCGGGGCCACACAGGGTCCCCTTCATCAGGCTCAGAGTAGCTGGGAGGCCAGAATGACTACTCTGAGCCTGATGAAGGGGACCCTGTGTGGCCCCAAAAGCACTTGATATTCTGAGTGGTATTGATTCAGAAAAGGGATGTGCACTGATTTGAGAGTCTCATCGTGCTGGTGACATCATTACCACTGTGCCAATAATTACCTTGTAGTATACACATATATACACATACACATATGTAACTCCACCCATAATGCTTCAACACCTCTATCAAGCCAGAAAATATTACAGCCGAATCATGTGGAGAATACAGCTAAGATTTAGCAATACTTAATACATCAGTGCTGCTGGAGTGACTCTACTATTTTGTTGTAACATAGGACTCTTCTAGGACCTCCGTCTGACTTATCTGTCTCATTATATTCTAACTCTCCTTTTCACCCTTAATCCTAGTTTAAATACTCCTCCAATCTTCCAATAAACCTCCCCGGTAGCAGAGCAAACCCTAATTCCATTTAGGTGTAAATATTTAGCACATAACCCCAATGAAAAGTCAGCACAGTACTCTAGAATCCTAGAGTCTTTCAACTTACACCAGGTCTTTATCTATTTGTTTAGCTCTCTAAGCTTCCGTCGTCTTATTTAGCTGTTGCCCGCTATATGATAAGAGCGCTGCAGCCGGGACGGATCCCGACAATACTGTGGAGATCCAACCAGCTGGCTTTGCCTATCTAATGGCAGAACCAGGTATGCCCACCCCCTTCCCTGTCTGTGCTGGGGGATTGGAGAAGGGAGGGGGGGAATCCCTGACAGTCACCGCTCTCTGCAGGGGAATGATCGGGAAGTCAGCGAACGGCGGTATGTTTTCGCTCACTTACTGATCAATAGAGCCAATGTGGGACAGTTTTAATGTCACACGTCGGCTCTCAATATAGGGATGAATGTAATTCACTCACTCCATAGTTCTTCTTTAACCCTTGCATTGTATGGGAGCCCCAGTGGGTTTTTCTTTTCTCCCTGAGTTTAGCTTTAAACAAGGAGGAAAGCTATATTCATAATGTTTGCCTTTTACTAATCTATTTTCAGGTTGTGGTAGGATATTCTGCTTCCATGTTTTTACCATTTATGATTTGTCTACTCTTTAGGCACGCCAGGGAATACTGTGTTCCCTAAGGGAAACTTTGGCTATTCAGATACTTATACTCCGAGTAGTTATATTCCAGGTAAGGTCTAAGAGAAGCAGGTACATAATATATTCTGGTTATAAAAATGAGTATGTATAGCATTAAATAGTAACTTTTTTTTTTAAATATACAGTACTGTACAAAAGTTTTAGGGCACTTGAAAAAAAACATGCTGTGTAAAAAAAATAATTAAAAGAGATTTTTTTTTTATCAATGAACAAAATAGAAAGTGCAAAAACACTAGAAAAAAAAACCAAATTATTATTTGGTGTGTCCACCCTATGCCTTTAAAACAGCATTGATTCACCCAGATTCACTTCCACACAGTTAAGAATATTACAGGCATATGGTCCAGTGCATGATTAAACAACTATACCAAACAGATATTAAAAGCCATGCTCTACTAACATGTTGAGGTCGCTGAAGACAGTTCAATATGTATAACAGCAGTCACCAACCTTTTTGGCACCAGGGACTGGTTTCGTGGAAGAAAATATGGGGGGGGGGGGGGGGCAGCGATGATTAAAACGCATTTATTGTGCACTTTATTTTTATTATTATTACATTGTAATATATAATTAAATAATGATATAACTCGCCATATTGCAGAATCAGTGGGAGCCCTGAGCTTGCTTTCCTGCTCTCAGGTGGTCAGTTCGGCTCTCAGGTGGCCAGTGCAGTCTTTCAGGTGATCAGTGAAGGCTCTCACCAGAGGTCTGGAGAGTCTAACTGGTGGCTGAGGGCACAGCAGACATGGTTCTCTAATCAGGTGGCCCTTTTCTCCTCACTAGGGCCCTGAGGTGCCCCAGCGAGCGGCCTCCTAATATGCCTGATTAGAGGGCTGCCTCTGCCTGATTGTAGTCAGCCTGGATTGCCACCGGCATACAGAGGCGATTTGGGCCAGCTGGGCCTATTTGCATGGGCGGGCTTGGGGCGGGAGCTACATGCACCCCTATGTTAATCCGGGCTTGGCCGAGGTCTGGCGGTTGTGGCCCAGTTATTGAAAGGCCACGGACCAGCACGGGTCTGCGGCCCAGGGGTTGGGGACCTCTGATGTATATGATCTTAACAGTATGGCAAAACCTAGAACAGCAACAAGACACAGCATTGTCTTACTGCATCAACAAGGTCTCTCATATGCAGAAATTTCAAGGAAGACAGATGTTTTTTAGACGTGCTATCCAAGAACTTCTGCAGAAGCACAAAGAGCAGGCAACATTGGCGACAAACGTAGTGATCAGTCAAGAAAATTTAGTGCAGCAAATGAAAGACATATCATGCTGACTTCCCTTTGCAATGGGAAGATATCTAGTTGAACTGTCAGCTCAGATCTGGCAGAAACCGGTGGAATCCTGGTACACTCATCTACAGTTACGGAAAAGTGTGGTCAGAAATGGTCCTCAAACACAAGAACTGGTGTGCAGAAAATGGCAGCAGATGCTCCAGACTGATGAGTCCAAAACAGATATTTGGGTGTAACAGAAGGCAGTAGTCCTTGAACTTCGAGCAAACTGTCACGAGGGCAGACTAGGCGGGGTGTCGCAGAGCTGGGTAGGTATCGGGGATCCCCCCCCCCAGGGCACGGAATCTAAGGGCCAGCCAGTCTTCCCCAGAGCTCCTGATGGTGGAGATGTTATGCTGCGAGCGGACCCTAGGTCGCAGCCCTCAGGTTCACCCAACTCGGCTAACAGCCCACGATGGTTGACAATGACAGAGTTCCGGACAGGCTGCAATATCATCAGGGAGGCAAATTACCGAACCAAATTCATTCCGCTGCAAGACAACAACACAAAACCTACAGAAAAAGTCATGAAAAACTATCTTCAGTGAAAAGAAGAATGATGTGTCCAGGAGGAGATGGCATGGCCTCCACAAAGCCCTGGTTTCAACATCAAGTGTCTGGGATTGCATGAAAAGACAGAAGCAATTGGGACAGCCTAAGTGCAAGGAAAAACTGTGGTTAGTTTTCTATATAATCCACAGCCAACTCTGCTCAAATTCCAGAACTGGCTTGCACTGTGATTGCATCCCAGATGCAGGCAAACGAGCCCACCACCTATAGCAACCAAATCCAGAAATAGCCACACTTGTAGAGATCTATGAGTAACCTGGAATGGTGAAACATGTCAGGGGTTGAGCATACATGGGAACTAACAGTATGTATTTGCTCCATAAATAAAGATTTGTTTTCTTCAGTGAAGACCCTTGGAGTGCAGCTTTTTCTAGGTTTAGTTCTTCTAGATGTTTCTAACAACCTACCTGCCAAAATCTGTGTACAAGGGTACCTGGGAGAGTCGATGCTGTTTTTAAGGTAATGGATATTATTTGATTCAGACGTTTTGGTTTAAGCACTGTATGTAACTGATACAACTATTTGTTGCATCATTTTTAAAAGCATGCTCATTTTCAGCATTTTGTCACAAGTACCTAAAACATTTCTACAGAACTGTATATAGTTTTATCTCCTGAATACCAGTTCATACTATGTCCAGGATTTGCATTTTATTGTGCAGGTGTGACTGATTACTATGCTTTTTGCTTTTGCCTTTCCTTAGATAAACTTGTCAATCTGACTATATCAAATAGTAGAGCCATTCAAATTGGAAGTGGTAATTATATGTCAGTTGTGGAATCACCAGTAAGGAACAGGCATACCGCTCAAAATCAGAACCACAGCCATTATAAACAGGCGTTTGGTATGTATTGGTTTTTATTTATGGAAATTAACCCTGTTATCCCCTTTCTAATTTATTGTATTAATCGCAGCAATAGCAGACAGCCTGCTTATCTGAACACAACCTTCAGGGCGGATCCAGAGTCTAGTCTCTGGAGGGGGCACTGCCAGAAAATAAGCCCCCCCCCCGTCTTCCACTGCCACTGTGCCCATCCCTCTCTTCTCCCACTGCCACCTCTGTATCCACTCCCCCCTCATCTGGCTCTTCCACTGCTACTGTGCCACCCCTTTCCTCTCCCACCACCTCTGTGTCCACTGCCCCCTGACTCTCTCCCCGGGGTACAGCGCATTCACCTGGCCTCTCCTTCTGGAATCTTCCACCGCTTCCAGCATTGGGTGATCTGTACTCACACAAATTAGGCAGCCGCAAAGCTCAGTGTGGGCTGAGTCAGCCACCTAATTTGCCTGACTACAGTGCAGCCTCTGCTTTAGGTCCCGATCGTTCGGTGCAGCCGGCCGGGCACAGCATTGTGGCAGAGGGAGGGATCGATAATTTTTTGGGGGGGGGGGGGGGAAATCCCCGGGTCCGCCCAGCAGAATACCACCAGCTATACAATATACATCAAGTCAGCAATACTGACAGCTGCAGTCTCCCAACCCCCCCTTTCCCCGCCATCAGCCATAGATTCCCCAGCCTCACCTAACTCCTGCAGCACCTCTTTCTTCTGAGCCTATGGCGACCATAGGAGTGGAGAGAGCGCAGGGGAGGGTCCTCACAATGACCCACACAGCAGGATGGGGTTGCCTGGCGGTGCCTGCAGAGTCTGTACAGGCTCCCCCAGGCTAAACATTTCTCTTAAATGACAGGCATTTACACAGCCGCCTGTGTACATCCCCGCACAGCCGCCAGTGTTCTGTCGAGAACGCTGGTGCATACAGCTGTCACTGTGACAGAGTTTACTGCTGTCCAGTTTAGAAAACCGGCTCACTACTTGTTTTTTTACAATGAACCGCAGTAAAGTCTGTGAGAGTGACAGCTGTATGTAATGTCACTAGTACCGCGGGTGGGAGAGGCAGGGAGCGGCACTATCTCGTCCAGGATCTTCCACTGTCAGTAGATGAGGCTCAACTGTATATTGTATATTGAGTGTGCACAAGGCTGCAGAAAAAAGCCACTCTTTGTGAGAGCAGTTGTGTCTCGAGGAAGGTCCAACACATACTGCTCTCCAGTCAGCAAACCTCACACGCTGCTAATTGTAGAGCTGTAGATATTAGGGCCTGTTCAAACCATATGTATTTGGCTGCACTGGACAGCCTTGCCAATCACTGTCCCAACACATGCACAAGGCAGTTTGGTTTGTTTCCTATCACATCAGTTTGCACCACCCGTTGTGCACTACACTGCATCTGGTGGCAAATAGAACTGGCTGGAATGGCACTTTTTTTTAATAAAAAACACTTCCATAACAGCACACACCAGTGGCCATGCTGTAGTGCTGGTGTGAACAGATGCTTTCTCAGCAGGGTGTATGTGTAAACTGTGGACCTTTTATACAACCTTGTGCAAAATAGAAGATTTTCTACTCTCGCTGGGGTGCTATACAACCACTTAAAACAGTAAGACATTGAACACTTAGGGGGTTATTCACTATGGAGCTGAAGGATACACCTGTAGCATCGGCTGATCGTCCGCTCTCTTCGGCCGCCTCTGCCCTTCAGTTTAGTGGAACCAAAGGGCTGTTGTGAATAGCCTGTGCAGTAGCCGAGCCATCATTAAACAATAACAACTGGAAGACTCTGGCAGGTGTCGGCCCTGTCACTGCTAGCCAGAATCTTTGCCTGTGTTTTTTTTAAATTTCTTTTAAACTTTTCTTTTTTTTCCCCGTTTTTTTTTTTAACCGCCTCCCGGCCGGCCGTTGTATCGAAAAAAGGCCTGTCGGGAGCTTCCTAGATTTTCGCGGACGTATTTAAACATCCCGTCAGCCACTTCCTATCACGCGCGCAAGTGGGAACCTGCCCAAATTTAAAAACAGGCAGAGATGAAACCTAAAAATGTAGAAACATGCCTGTTTACATACAAGCGATACGCCGGCTATAGAGCGGGCGGATTGCTTGTATAAGGTGCCGGTCCATGCGGCCCCCCGCTCCCGCTGTCCTGCTTGACCCGGGCTCCGCTGTGCCTGGTGCGAGCCACCTCTCAGTACAGGCTTCCTCTAAATTGACTTTTTGTGTATGTCTTTCAGAGAACAATGCATTAGTGACTGAGCAACAGCTTCGTCTTCTGAGAGAGAACTTGTCCAAGAAATGGAAGGAGTTTGCTCGCGAAGTTGGATTTCGACAACCAGAAATTGAAGAGATTGACCATGACTATGAAAGAGATGGACTTAAGGAAAAAGTTTTCCAAATGGTGTACAAGTGGCAAATGAAAGAAGGATCTAAGAATGCCACAGTTGGCAAGGTGGCAAAGGCCCTATATGCTTTGGACGAAAAGGGCCTTCTTAATGATCTAATTCAGCTGAACTAAACCATGCAAACACTGAAATTAGTCTAAACTTTGTAAATGTTTGTGAAGAATCTTAAGACAAATCTTACCACGGGCTACAATATGCCTCCAAGCTGGCTGCTTTTCTAAACTCAAGCCGAAAAAGCAGACTAATTGTAATAAAAAGGCTTTTTATGAAACATTGTGATTGGGAAGGCCCAGATTTGTTTACATGAAATGCCTATGCATGATAAACTATTACAGACTGTGAGTTTAATTCTGTCAGCTTTAGCCATCAGGGTCTGTTTTTAGGATCCCTAGGCACTTGGAGAGGGGAATGGAATCATTTAGCTGTTGAATCCTTATCACAAATTGGTTGTCTTCTGTTGATGGAAAAAGTCCTTTGAAGATCAGCAATGATACGCCGAACAAGGATTTTTTTTAACGTATAAGGTAGTGAAAAAAGAATTTGATGGTATTATGGTTCCCCAACACATAATTTTGTGTCACAAAGTGCCAGGACTTTTAAAGGTTAGTTTATCATTTCCTCTTGTTGACTACCACGTGTGCCTATGATGCATATAGTGCCAAATGGACTTGGACAAGTTACATTTGCCTCACATTATTACTGGGCTGAAAGAACCTCTTCCAGAAAGATACAGGATACAGTAGAGTGTTCACTGATGCACTTTTGTCCCAGACCATCTGCCTTTCAAAAATAACAAATGGGATCCTCTTCTTCTACATTTTGTATGTAATTTGGATGAATGTATTTTCTGAATTGTGGTAAATTTACTATGGATTTTATATGACATTAGGTAACTTAAATACATATATTTTTAAGAACTTCTACTTCTAGAATCAATGTATTTTTATATGTTTAGATATTATGTTGTTTTTAGCATTAGATCTGCACCATAAACCTCACCTGCAAACAGTTCAAAGGCAGTCTAGATCTGACAGTGTATTACAGGGAGAAGCTGTTTATTTCACCCAGCAAGTGGGCAAATGTCCTTACTAGCTTCATTTGAAATGGGAGAGCCACGGATTCCATTTATGCAATTATGTCAGGAAGATCTTACTGTGAAAGTACCCAAGCCATATAAGAAGCCAAAGGCTAACTCGGTCCACCATGCTCCACTGAAAAATAAAATACCACTATTAGGTGAACAGACTGATATATCTTTACTCTGATCCTAAGAAAACATTCAGGGGGGAATTGATTAAACTGGTGCAGACAGAATTTGGAGCAATTGTCCATGGCAACTAATCAGCTTCACTCTTTGTTCAGTTAAGATTTGGACACAAAAGAGAGAAGCTGATTGGTTGTTATGCACAGCTGCTCCAGATTTTGTCTTCTCCAGTTTTAATGAATTCCGCTCTCAGTGTTGTCTAATCAACTGCCTAATGTGTATTTGAAGTACTGCGATACTTTAAATTAGTATTTGCCTTAGCTTTCCCTGATCCTCAATGCATCAGAAATCAGACTGAGAGTGGGAGGTTATGTATGGTCAGTCAGTCAGGCTCTGTTGTATTGTGTAGTGAAAACAAAATCCTCCAGTATGTATACTATACTCTTGAAGCATATTATAATGGCAGTAATACTGTATATTTGTCTTACATCCTGTTAATGTTAGTGACCAACATGGGACTGAATTTCTATAGACCAATAGTGATGGAATTAGTCATGTAGTAGTTATGACTTGTGAAAACATGGGAAATCTGATCAAATATATATATTTTATTTAAAATGTGTGCAGTTCTTTTCTAGTAAAAAAAAAAGTAAATCAATGTGACAGAAAGAAGTTGACAGAACAGAAGTTGTACAAACAGGTGTATTTTACAGGAAATACATTCCTACAGTCTTTAGACTGACCCTGTGAGGTGATCTGTGCATGATGTTGAACTCTGTTTTATAGAAGAACTCCGGGCATATCAAATCTTAACCCTTGCAGTGGGGTTAACCTCGTTCGTTTTTGTCTAGGGAGCTAAAATAACAGTTATACTCACCCGATCCCAGCTGCCTGCTAGACTGGTCCATGAAGCCTCACTCCCTCTCTGCTCTGATAAATATCCCCTTTTTTGTATATGATGCTGTGGCTGACATACTTACCTCATCCTGCATTGGGGGCCACTGCACTGACTGCATCCAATAATGAGATCCCAGTGAGATCCAACCAAGGCGTGCCTGCATTTTAAACCAAACAGCAAAAAGTTTTCCCAGCACACTCACCAGGCAGCATGTAAAAAAACCTATCTCACCGCTAAGGTTAGAAACAGAGGTTTAGATACACGTCTTCTGCAGAAAATGTGAAAGACGCACAGCCACGCCAAGGCACCTCTAAATAGTGCGGTCCTAACTCTAAACTATCAGAGTCTCCATCTTGGAGCACATGGGGAAAAAGATAAAATTGGGTGCAGGTTTGTCAGGAGGAAGCCCTGACAAAAGCTGGTAACAAGTTGATGAGTGCGTTTGCCATGTGTTTTGCTTGCATTTTACACCAGCCCCCATTTTCCTCTGCTTAACCAAAGGAAAGGTTGGAAAGCACTTCTTCATCCTCTCTCCAATAAGGTGAGAGGCAGGTGCTATAGGAAGCACAACCTCCATCTTGTCCCTTGAGGAATGAGGGTAGACTGGGCACTGCAGACGATCAACCTGAAGGTTAAAGGAGAACTATGAGGCGAGTGAAAATCACTCAGCCTCATAGTTCTAGCCGACCTGTGACAATGAAACTGTCAAAGGTCGGCTCAATAGATCGGGAAGTGAGCGAACACATACCGGCGTTCGCTCACTTCTCGATCCTGTCCCTGCAGAGAGCCGTGACTGTCACTCACG